CAGTTGTGCTGTGAGATGCCAGTGCAGCCAGTGCCCGAGCCCTCCTGCTCCCTCCCTCAGAGCAGCACTCAGCCTTTACCTCCGGGGCAGGCTGTCCTCCTCTGCTTAAATGCTTGGGACTCAGTTCTAGGTCTCCATCCACTTCCAGGGGATCACTTCACAAGGGAACTTTATCTGTGGTGTGGAGTGGTTAGCCTTAGCTCCCGGCCTACAATCAAAGAGTAACTCTGTTTCCTAGTTTTGGCCTTCAGGGGCCTCAGATCCAGGTTTTCTAAAAGGCAAGACTGGAAAAATAACTTTACCCTACTATCTTGGGTGATGCTTTTTGACATAGATGTACACACATCCTCTTCTTGTTTATTGCCTTCTTTTCACATTACTGTCCAGTTACTCTGAACCTTAAATCACTATAATTTTTACAGACCTTCATGCAGACCTGTGCTAAGTGTTTTAAACATTGCCATTTAAACGAAGTTAGCAAAGCAGAGGAATGCTAAACAGTATGCTTAAAGCAGAGGACATTCCCAGGGAATCAGTGCTATTAGATTCTAGGAATTTAAAAATCTTTCTTGGTTTTGAAAGACCTTGCCCTCCAATTAATCCCTACAGAATCATTCTCATAACAGCTCATGGGTGTGCATTTGTTTCTGAGGATTTTATGTTGGTGGTGTAAATACTTAAAAGCCTCTAAGTCCTAGGTGATAGAATCTAGGTATAAAGACTAGCTAGAACACTGGGAGTAGGATTGGTTTTGGGTTACAGGGGTCAGTTGTTCAGCACCATTCACATGCCTCCATGTTGGCACCTCCCACTTGAAGTCCATCTCTGAAGGTTTCCCTTGTGGATGGAGTGCATTACTCTTGGAGAGGCAGCTGGGAGTTGGATACTAATGGTTTTTACCTTGCCCATTTCCAGTCAATGACCATAATGTTTCATCATCTCAGAGACAATGGAAAGAAGTGCTTTTAACATAGAGGGATAATTCCTCATTTTAATTTTGTTCCAGGAGAAATCCATATTTTGCACTTTCTGCTTTGCTCCACTCCTAAAAATTATTGCAAGCCAAGTATTTCTTCTCATATACAGTAAAAAGACCTTTTGAACTCAAATAGTTTTAGATACTGATCTTAATCAGAGTTGGACAAAGAGTACCATGGAACTTGTCTTTCCCATAAAACTCAAAAGCTTTATTACGAGAGGCCCGATGCACAGAATTTGTGCGTGAGTAGGCCCTCAGAGACCTGGCGGCCTCAGCCCTCGCAGCCCTGGCTTCGTCCTGAGGGATGTCCGACGGCCATTTCCCTGTTCAGCAGTCTAGTCGATTTGAATATTATGCTTTTATTATTATAGATCATTAATCAGTACAATTTATCAGGAGCAATAGCTGCTAGGTATCAGACAATGCAGTAGATGCTGTGCATATATTTAGAGAAACGATATAGCAGAATGCTCACCAGTCAGAGTACTTCTCTGAATTGCTAAATTCAAATCCTGGCTCCATCTCCTACTAGCAGTGAAACCTTGTATAATTACCTAATGTCTCTGTGTGTCTAACATCTGTCTGGAGTATTAAATTAGTTCATCCAGTGCTTAGAAATAGCTCAATAAATATTTTCTTAATTCTTCCAATAATGTACAAGGTAGGTATTTTTATCCCCATATTTTTTTTAATCCTCATCCAAGGATTTTTTTTTTTTAATTGATTTTAGAAAGAGAGGAAGGGAGGAGGGGAGAGAGAGAGAAACATTGATGTGAGAGAGAAACATCAGCTGTTTCCTGCATTCAACCCAACCTGGGACCAAACCCACAACCTAGGTATGTGTCCTGACTGAGAATCAAACCCACTAACCAACTAAGTCACCCAACCAGTATCCCCATTTTAAGATGAGGATACTAAGACTCTGAAGTTAAAGAAGATTAAAAAGTCACAGACAGTGACTGGGTGGCCCTGGTTTTAAATTCAAGTCTTTCATACCTCAAGTCTCTTCCAAAACTTCCAAGCACAGAAGTTTAGTTTATTTTTCTGTTTTCTCTGTCTACTGGACTGTAAAAGAAAACCTGGTTTATGACATATTGCTGTGCACTCAATTTTTTTTTAAAATATATCTTATTGATTTTATACAGAGAGGAAGGGAGAGAGATAGCTAGAAACGTCGATGAGAAACATTGACCAGCTGCCTCTTGCACACCCCCTTCCAGGGATGTGCCCGCAACCAACGTACATGCCCTTGACCGGAATTGAACCTGGGACCTTTCAGTCCGCAGACCTCTGCTCTACCACTGAGCCAAACCGGTTTCGGCTGTGCACTCAATTTTTACTCACACCATTTATCATGTGTAAATACCTTCTGAAAACGAAGTAGCAGAATTCTGCCAAGGATGGAGAGGATGTTATAGAAATTTAGTCCATGGAGTTAGAAAATTTCATGACTTTGTATTCATAGCTGAGTAGGGGCCAAAACAGCCTAATATTTTCCCTGGCAATGGTCCTGCTTCCCCCAGGAGGGCTTGCTACCTTCTCTTTGTGGAAGGAGATGCACTTGTTTTATGGCTTAGAAAGGAACTCAGGAAGGTATTACAACCATTGCCTGCAGAGTTGTGTCGCTTACCAACTTTTCAAGTTTACAGGGTCAGTAGGTTTTAAAGTATCACGGATAGAACTCCAAGTTGATTATTGGCATCATCAGGCAGCAGAAACTCCCATGGAAGCCTGAAACTCTCAGAAGACACTGCTCCCTCTTCAGTGCTGCCTACACGTTCTCACCTGGGGGTTTCACGGCTCCTCTGCCGCCTGTCCTTTCAGTGTTTGGTGCCCCCGGAGTTCTTCCCGAGCCTCGGTTGTTCACTGAAGTCTTCATGTCGCCTTCCTTCACGCAACCCAGACAATCCCTCACCCATCACTCCAACAACCATTTCTGTGCTAAATCCTCAGCTCAGATCTTTCATGCTCCTGGTGTTTATCTCTCACTCACCACTAGACATACCCACTTAGACACCCCCTAGATACTTCAAAATCAATTCGTTTGGAACTGAGCTCACTATCCTCTTCCTCCTGTATCATCTCCCTCATCTCCCACTAGATTTGCTTCTCCCAGTGTCAGTAATATTTCTTCACATTACAACCAGAGAGATCTCTCTAAAATGCAAATCTGATGTCATCCTATTGGAAATTCTTTAAAGTCTCGTCTGGGCTCTGAAAGCCCACGTTCTTCAACATGAGTTAGAAGGCCTGTTGTGATAGACACCCCACCCTCACCTCCAACTGGCATAACCCTCTCTTTCACTGTTTACTTCCCCATTCTTCTTTCCAAACCTTCACCTCACACACTTCACCCTCTGATACACACAGGGTATCCCCTCAACATTGTGTATACACTTTAACAGCTGATAGCTCAGTTTTGAAAATGAAAAGTATTTTAATAAACACCACCTTTACAATTATTCCAAGGGTGTGTGCACAGGTTTGGGGACATTTCTGGCATGTGTGCCGTTGTCTTGGTCGCCAGGTCTTTGCTCAGGCTGCTCCACCCAAGCTCCCACGTCTACCAATATCTAATGCCTAATTAGACTGCTTAGAGCTTTCCGGTTAGATCCTTTTCTTATGCCAAATGGCTCTTGTAAGTGTTCACATTACACATTTACGTGACCACATATCTGCAAGCAAAGGTCCCCTTGCCAAGGTTACAAAAACCTTTGGGATTAGAAATTACTCCTTGTTCTAGTGCAGGACATGAATAGTTTTGTTATCGATTTCACTAATACCAGGCTCTACATTGAACATATCAAGAAGTTATACATGATTTAATTTTATAGGAAACTAATTAGTGTTTTTGAAGTGCTTTTAAATATAGCATCTAGATTAAATAATGTTGGATGTTTTTCATGGAAATTGCTGTAGTCTATTTTTTTAAAATGAGTTAGCTCTTAGTTGCTCATAATTCTGATATGTATTGAGTACAATGAATCAATATTACCTGCTATAAATATTGGGATTGCTAGAAAACAAAAATCTCTGGGTCAAAAGTGACAACCCACGGACTGCAAACTGACAACCCACGGACTGTATCTGCTCACAGACATTCCCTCGTAGTTTAGGGACTATAATTATCCCTCAATGCCCTCAAGGTGTGAAAGGGAGGATTGGTTCCAGGACCACTCTCCCAGCCCTCTAGCCCTGAAGTTACTAAAATTCAAGGATGCTCAAGTCCCTTAAATAAAATGGTATAGTATTTGCATGTAACCTATATTTGCATATAGACTACAGTGGGGTATGCCTACACATTATTTCATTCTCATGGATTCAGCATAGTAATTGGTGCATGGAACATTCTAGTTTTGCTCTTTTGGAACATTTTGGGAAATTTCTTTTGTGGGGGCAGAGGGAGCTATTTCTACCCATAGTTTAGTTGAATCCACCAATGCAAAACCCATGGATATGGAGGGCCAACTGTTGTTAATGCTTATAAATGGAGAGGTTTCATATTGTCAGGGGCAAGCTCTTCAGCCAAGGACTTGACTCTTCTGGGTGCAGGAAACTGAAAGAACACGCAGGTACAAGCAGGCAAATGGGACATGCTTCATTATAAGCAAAGCAGCCGGCAATAGGCTGGTCAGTGGCAACTTATACACAAGCTCACAACAAGCTCTAACAAAAGAGGCTTTGTGCCATATACAGAAAGGTACACCTGCACAGTGTATAGCTTTCTGAGTTCTTGCTTTTGCACCTGTGTATAGCAAATTAGCCTTGAATATCCTGACTAGAGTTTCCATGCTCAGAGAAGCCTGGAGCACTCTAGACAAGGCTCCCACATCTATAAAACCCAGATTTCTGGTTTCTCTTGAAAAATGAAATTTTGGGCAAGAATGGATTATGTATATGCTCATAATGAATATGAACTGCATAGTGGCTATTCTTTTTAGACAGGGCAAGTGGTCTCCAATTTGATACAATTCTTGAAAGTGTTACACCTGCCCTAGTTCACTGTTACATTATGTAGATTGCTCTTTTTTTTATTTTTAGGTAAATAAAAATGCATGTATGTAAAAAATCATTAATTTTTAAATTAATGAAAACCTCATACAGCTTCTTTGCTTTATTGGATTTTTTAATACATTCATCTCCTTTAAAAAGGTGGTAAGAAATACAGAGACAGAGGAAGCAATAAACATCAGATATTAACTTTCTTCTTCTCAAGATTTATCAACAAACCATTCCATTGGCTGGTAAAAAAGAAGACTGGAAAGTTTCACACTTCCTGGAGATCAACTATCTTACGGTGTAATTTCTTTAGGTCTTTATGTACTTTACGTATCTCTAAATCCATCTTTGTTTTCTGTATTTGTTGGAGGGAGCTGAGAGAATCATGAATTGATTTAAATCCTGGAAGAAAATATGAGTTTACTTAAACAATGCATTGGAATTTTTGTTTTTCACAGAAGTTGTTAATCAGCAGTCCATAACTGATCATCTTTTAATTCAAAGCACATTACATTTTATTAAGTCCAGTCTAAAAATGTGTAACCATTTCTTGTATGTTATGAAGATGCATTAACAAGAGTGTTTCAACTTGTATCTGCTTCATTGTGGGATTTTAATTCAATTCCTTTGTTTTCTTCCCCCCAAATATATTGCAGAATTAAATGATTATTTCAAGAGAGAAGTTTAAAATAGTTTTCTTTCTGTACAATTTGACAAGAGTGATCTTTCTCTTTTTTTATTCTTGTTACCAAATTGAAGGTGAAGACTTTTGAAATCTCAGATGAAATTTTAAACTTTCTCTGACATCAACTTGTTTGAGGGACCTAAAGAGTGGCCACAGCTGCTGCACACTCCCGTCTTTCCTCTCCACCCCCCACCCCCCCCACCCCCCCGCCCCAGCAATTTGTATCTCCTTACTAAAGTCTAATTTCTCATGGCCATTACCTACCAGATATCAAGCTTCTTAGGTATAGCCCATTTCTTTTTTGTTTTTTAAATATATTTTATTGATTTTGTACAGAGAGGAAGGGAGAGGGACAGAGAATTAGAAACATCGATGAGAGGGAAACATCAATCAGCTGCCTCCTGCACACCTCCTACTGGGGATGTGCCTGCAACTAAGGTATATGCTCTTGACCGGAATTGAACCTGGGACTTTTCAGTATGCAGGCCAGTGCTCTATCCACTGAGCCAAACCAGTTAGCGTTAGCCCATTTCTTATTCACCGGAGCCTTTCACATAGCTACTTCTCAACACATTTTTATTAAAGGCATAAAGGAGCAAACTGTTAATTTGGAGTTAATTTCTAAACTCCTACTTATTAACATGCAGAGATTGCAAACACTTAGATTGCAAACCCCTCTTGAGCTCATGTTGTGGTTCTACTACTGGAATGAATAAAATTAAACCTTTGGTAGTTAAGTAGGAAGCAGAGCCCTAAAGAAGAGTCAGTTATGTTTGGGACATGATTTCTGACCAGATAATTCATTACTTTGATTTGGCAGTGGGAGTTGGAGATAGAGGTGGTGAGGGTCAGATTTCCAGACAGAGAATTTCACTTCTATGCCAGCCACATCTGGCGGAATGAGACCATGGTGATTTTCTACGATACCTTCAAGGCACCTCTAGGCAGAATCAACATTAGGTAGACTTGGCATACACTTTTCTGAGATCTAGAGGACAGAAAATGAGTGGGGCTTTCTATAACAAAAGGAAACTTCTGGATCCTGGTAATTCCCTCAGAATTGTGGCTGGAGGCAGATGGCTGCTCCACAGCACCTATCCACACCCTTCGCTTTGACAAATTAGATGAGCCTTTCAAATTACTCCTTTTTGATGTTAGCTCAGCTTGACACTGCTGCCTCCTTAAGAAGAAAGACAGCCATTATTCTGGACTCTGTCCATCCATCTTCCCTACTTAAGTCTAAATGTCAGGGCTCTGGTCTGACATCTGTCCAGGCTTATTACCTGCAAGTTCAATGCAGGGCATTGGATTTAGGCATCTTGTGTTATGATATACCCAAAAGCCAAGTCTTAATGATCCCCAAGGACCTTCCAAGTCCAACAATTCTCCAAGTCTCTGATTTTAGAGAGTAAAAAACAAAACAAAAACTTCAACGTGTATACCTTCTCATAGTATGTTGGCATTCTATGGGACATTTAAGAAAGTCGGGTTAATACAAAAGGATTTCACTAATGACAGGATCAATTGTCAGCCATTAGCACAACACAGAAAACGGAGGGGTTGGCTAGGAAAGGGCTGTTGTTCTTAACTTAATCAAAGGCACGGCTCACCTGATTGATATTCATTCTGCATTTTCTCTAACTCATCCCAGATGTGCTGTTCCAGTTGGCTCATCTTTTTATACAGTTTGTTTTCTGTGTGCTTAACTTTGCTTAGTTCTGCATCCTGTTTGTGTGTGTTAAGGAAATTATCTAATTTGCTTGAAAGCTGCAGTAATTTTTCTTCCATTTTCTTTTCAGACTTTTCCTAGAAAAGATGACACGCGATAAAACGGCAGACAAGAAAATCTAGGCTGCTTCGTAGGTCAGATTAGAGCAGTGTTTCCCAACCTTCTCTCATGATGAGAATCACCTGGTGGAGTTGTTAAAACACAGATTCCTGAATCCCAACTAAGAAGTGCTAAACTAGAATTTTTGGGAACATATAGGTAAAATTGCATACCTAACTTAGTGCTCTGTATATAAAATCTGTCTTAGAGCACTAGTTAAGTATACAATTTTACCTATATGTTCCCAAAAATTCTAGTTTAGCACTTCTTAGTTGGGATTCAGGAATCTGTGTTTTAACAACTCCACCAGGTGATTCTCATCATGAGAGAAGGTTGGGAAACACTGGATTAGAGAATGTTTTTAACAAAGTCATTTTTCCATGTTAAACATGAACATGTGAACAAAGTTCCCTTGTATCTAAAACTGTGTTCCCAAGTTCATCCCTTTGTTTGGCCTGGTTCGTTCGTAGTTTCTGCAATTCCCTGTGTTATGGAGGAAAAGGAAAGAAAGGGCTGTGGCCTTGCTGAGACGCCTGGACGGTTTGGAATTTCAGTCTGGTGTTAAGGGATAGCCAAGGAAGGCATTTTAGATTCTGCTCGAGGTGCTCCTGGGACCTCAGTGTTAGAGGCCTTATTCCTGAGCTTCAGTTCTCCCGTGGCTAGCCCAGCGATTCTCCACCTGGCTGTCGGTTAGAATCACCTGAATCATACGCTGCCCCCGCCCTCTATTCTGGTTTAATTGGTCCCTGATGGAGCCCCCATTGGATCCATGTTAAGAGTGCTCCAGGTGGTTCTAAGGTGCAGCAGCCAGAGGCTAATTAGCTTCTCTGTTCCTCCCCTCCGCCCCCAGGGAATGTGGGAGCAGGACCGGGCTGGACCCCTTTGGTTCCCCTGCCTGTGGAGGGTGGAGTCCAGAGCTCCTGCCTGCAGGTGATCCTGTGGCCCAGTGCCACCCAGAGCTGGTGGAGGCCTCTGCCTGACTCAGGTAGGACAGCCAGGGCCCACCGGGCTGCAGGAGCGGCCGCCCACAGCTCATGGGCCTGGTCAAGGATAAAGTTGTAATGCTTCTCTCTCTCTCCTTGCCTCTATCGGTTACTTACAAACCTGAGGGGTGAGGGCGGGGGAGGTGGCAGGAACCCTATTTCCAGGGCTGCCTACAGCCCTTCTACCCAAGTTCCAGAAGGGTCTGACTTGAATGGCTGCAAGGCAGGCGGCCGTTAAGGACCGGCAGGCAGCGGCCCGGCTCGGGAGGAAGGGCTCCTTACCAGTTTCTCCTGCAGGAGCTGCAGACACGACTTCATTTGGCTCACCTGGTCTTTCTCGAATGTGATGTGCTGGCTCTCTGACTTTTTTTTATTTTTCTCCACTTCCTCATACAGATTATTGGAAAGTGAATTCAGCCTAAGGGAAACATTTTGTTTTATTTTAGTATATAAGTAAATGTTAGTACTGAAGAAAATCCGTAGGTGGCTGCTTTGTTTTCAGATGATGAGGGTCAGTGTGTGTAGTGAGTACTACGGGGTGATGTTTGGCCTGGCAAGCACACGGTGAATGCCGTCCTCAGGGTGCTCAGCCCAGCTGCTGCCACCCCCCTCCACGTGCCCTCACACACCTGCCCAGGAGACAAACTCGTGGCACCAGGCAGGGTCCTCCTGGAGCCCTGGGCCCATGCGTGTGTCTGGAAGCAACGTTTTGCTAAGGCACCTGGGCTGGGGAGCAGCAGGGGTGGCCAACTTCTGTAAAGGGTTACAGCTAATATCTCAGGCGTTTTGGTCGGTCTCTTTTGCAACCACTGAGCTCTTGCTGCTGCCATTGCAGCCAGAAAGCAGCCACGGATGACATAAACCAGCGTGGCTTAATTGTAAAAAAAAAAAAAAAATAGAGGATCATGGTTGTCGTCTAACTTTGTATGTGCTGAAATCTAAATGTCTTATTCTCTTCACATGTCATTAAGTGTAATATTTTATTTAAAATTTATTAGGAAGTGTTGGAAACAGTCTCAGCTGTGGGCACATTGGCTAAGGGAACCGCTCCTCCGCACAGGCCACCAGAAGGCCGGGAGAGGAGCCAGGCCAGACAGGCCCTGCATTGTTTAAGTGGGCAGAGAAAAGGCGGAGGTGCGTAGGGGGAGGGAGAAGGAACAGAGCCCCAAAGGACTTTGGGGAAGCAGAGTGTTCCTTGGTTTGTCTTTTCTGTCTCTGGTGAAATCTTCAGTAAAGTGCCCACTGCCATCCGTGGGTCTCGGAGTGGATTCTTTCGGGGCAGGGTAGTGGGAGGGCTTGAAGTGGTGAAAAGTTTCTCTTGGGGGTTGGAATCCTATGTCATCAATTTGAAAAGTCACTGTGGAGTGGCTGAGGGTGTGAGCAGAAGGGGGAGCCACATCTGGAATGACTAAGAAGCCCGGGACTGAGAAGAGGTGGGATGGGAGATGGGGACGGGCGAGTGGTGTCTGTATGTGACTTGCTCTTGGTGAGATGGCCAAGAGCCCGTTTAGACTAGGCGGAATATTAGATGGGCAGGAATAATGCATGCTGACATTGGAAATATTCATATTTCTGTGGCTTGAAATAAGTTACTTTAATGTCTTTAGGAAAAAATGTACACAGATAACTTAGTGTGTGATATTTATCGCTGGAAACTGCTTAAAACATGCTGGACATATAACACATGTATATGCCTCTCTGGCTTTCCTGAAAAAGACACCTTAGAGCCTAAGTCCCATGAGGGCGAGAATTTTACTTTGTTCGTGGCTGTGAACAATGGCTAGAATATAGAAATACAGAGTTGCTAAATAAATGAACAAATGAGCAAATTTTTTTCCCCTCACTCAATACCTTTTATCAGGGCTGTTCACAAATAAATCATAGACTTGCCAAGCTATTTAAAGATCTCTTTGATTTTGATCTTTCCTTCCCATTTCTGTTGGAAATATTAATAAATAGTGACGGTTAAGGAGGGGTGGTAAATCCTCAGGTAACCCAAGTGTTACCTTTACAATTGAGAACTGCTCACCTTTAGTGTGAAAATAAAATGAAAGCATTTACTCTCATCACGGACACAATATTAAAATCCCTCTGAAAACCAATGTGCCCAAGTAATATCTCTGGAAGGGCATGTCAGTAATTGAAATTCTGAAATTTAAATTAAGCCATAAAGAATGAATCACTACTTATGATCTTTTCATGACAAGGTTTTGCCTGTAATTGGAGACTCATTTTCCTGGTAACAATCAGAAGTCAGACTCTGTCGATAGTTTACAAAAGGATTATTTAAATAGCATTCTCCTTGAAAGACAAAAAGGATTAAGTATAAGTTTATGTACATCTCTTTCTTTTCTTAGATTTTCCATAACATAACAGACATGCTTTACCATGTGAAAATGACTTCTGTAATTGTAGAACTTACAGTTAAAGTCTTGACAATACCAAGTTTATGCATTTGTTTCATTGACCAAATACTGTTTTTTTTAAGAAAATAATTATCTTTATTGTTTGAAAGTATTACAGACGTCCCCCTCTTCCCCCACTGACCCTTTCTAGCCTGAACCTGCGTCCCCACCTCAGGCCTTCACCACACTATTGTCTGTGTCCATAGGTTATGCATATACTAGTATGCACACAAGTTCTTTGGTTGATCTCTTCCCACCCATTCCTACCTTCTCTCTGAGGTTGGGTGGTCTGTTCAGTGTTTCTTTATCTCTGGATCTGTTTTTGTTCATCAGTTTATGTTCATTATATCCCACATAATGCTTGAGATCTTGTGATATTTATCTTTCTCTTACTGGCTTATTTTGCTTAACATAATAAGGTCCATCCGTGGACCCCAGGTCTATTCATGCTGTTACAAATGTCTTTTTTTTATAGCAGCATAGTATTCCATTGTGTAGATGTACCACAGTTTTCTAATCCACTCATCTGCTGATGGGCACTAAGGCTGTTTCCAAATCTTACCTATGATAAATTGTGCCACTATGATTGGTGTTTCTGGTTTCTTGGTATATATATTCCCAGAAGTGGGATTACTGGGTCAAATGGGATTACTTTTTAATTTAAAAAATGGTGGAGAAAGTTTAAATAAAAGAGTCAATTGTGTACTTTACTCATTAGAAATGATAAATATTTGCCTAGAAAAATCTGGTTTATAAACTCACTATAACCTACAGTAATACTAATGAAATTTTAAAACTTCATTATTTCAAGTGAGAAAGAAATTCAAGTTTACACTATTACAAAAACTGCTGACATTCAGATTTAACTACTTAGATTATTTGTCTATAAGCCAGTTTCCCACAAGACTAAAGACAGAAGAGTACACAGCATCACCAGTATAGCAGGTAGCCCTAGATCCAAACACTGCCTTTCCCCCTCTTTCCTATTTGTTAACACACTTCATCTCTTTAAGCCAGTCTTCCATTTCAGATTATAAGTCCCATTCTCCCCCAGTAAAATCAATTCTTAAACTGTACTTCTAGAAATGGTTTACTTCTCTACTTTTCTTTGGACATTTCTTTTTATCTTAATTCAAAGCTAAAGGAAGTAGATGAAGTACCACACAGATATTTATTGAGCATTATCATGTGCTAGGTCTTAAGAACATAATATGTTTTTTTGGAGTATGAATGGAGTGGGTGTTTTCCCTTTACTCAAGACATTTTCTTCTCTGAGCTTTAGTTATAAGTACTGTTCCTAGGACACATTTCCCAATTTAACATCTCTAAAATTGTGAGGTGTCTTAAAGCTAGGTGTAGTGTGGTTTAATTGTTAGCTTCATGTCACAGAGGTGCAAAAATATATGGTACATCTTATAGTCAGTGACACTTAAGATTTCTTAAAATATGGTAGAGATGGGGCAGGAAAATGGAGCAAGCTGAGTATTATGAGAATACTAGATTATTAGATTTGGTCAAGGCATTAAATCCAAGTGATGTGAGATAGACAGGAAAAAGAACAAGAGTAGGGGCGAGGGTTTGCAAGGCATCAGTGGAGTGACCAGAATGCTCCTTTGCCTGCACCAGAGTTCCAGAAAATGTGGCCATTTAAACAAGCAAAGATTTGAGGATATGGAGGCCAGAAATTTGAATATTTGTGGGTTCTTGTCTCCTTTACTGCTTTCACCATTACACAGGGGAAAAGCTCAATTTACAAGTAGAGGATCTTAGAAAAAAATTTTAGAAAAGTCTTTAAAATGCTCTTGTAATCAAAGTATATATTATTGCTTTTTTACAGAGAAGAAGGGAGAGGGATCAAGAGTCAGAAACATCTATGAGAGAGAAACATGGATCAGCTGCCTCCTGCACAGCTCCTATTGGGGATGTGCCCTACAGTCCACAGGCTGATGCTCCAACCACTGAGCCAAACTGGTTAGGGCTCAAAGTTGTCTTAAAAATTAACTGATAATCACGTGCAATCGATGTCTATTCAATAGTGCTTTATGTTGAGGCATTTTAATACACAATTGGTGATAAGTTAAAATTTCTCTATAGAAAAGATCTGAGTGAGTATGTCAATTCAGTTGAGATATGCAAACAAAAAAAATGATAAAATTAATATCTTTTTATTATGAATATTGCATAAGCTACTTTAGTGATTATATTCTCTGTATCAGTTTTGTTGCTTTATTTATTGACCAGATTTATATTTGGGGTAGGTTTTTATTTAATGCCAATGCTTTCATTAGGCAAAAACGCTTTAGAATGGATTTAACAAAATTAAATATCTTCCATTTACTTACTTGAACTCCAAAAGGTTCATTTCAAGGCGGTAATCCCCTTGGATCGTCTTTAAATTTGAGGTTTGTTCATAATTAGAAGCCTCTATCTTTCCTAAGAGCTGCATTACCTAATGAAAGTACAAAAAGGAACTTTTTGGGTGTGTGAACAAAACCATTAGCCCTTACATTAATCATACTTCATTCCTAAAAGAGCCAGGAAGCAGACTTGAGTCTAAAACACATTTTCACTTGAAAATGATTTTCCCCCGCAAAGGAATAATTCAATAATTATATAACCATCTTCAGGGAAAGAAAAATGGAGTATTCATTCTTCTGTCTTAAATATACTAGTGATCTTAAATGACTTTTCTTGACTCTTTACTGGTCAAATTAATACAATATAAATAAGGATATAGAAAGATATAAAAAATAAAAAGTTTATTTAATAGATTTACATACCAATCTGACTTGCAAACATTTATTCTCTCCCAGTGCCCTCTGAACATTAGCAATAACCAAGCACACGTGGCTATAAAGAAACTTTCAAATTATTCCAAAAGTAGAAAAAGCACAGACATTAACTCTAAACTGTACTGCACTGAATCTAGAACTGAGTAAATAAAAAGAAGCAAAGTTCTAATCGTCTGAATGAAAACCCCTTCTTCATTATGTTGTTTAATTCCAGTGTTTTACACGAAAATGTGCCTCTCAGATCTCCTATTACAAGGAGCATAATTGGCCAAGGACCTTGACTGCTGAGCCTAAAACTCATCACCATGTTCGCTTCCCACTGGCTGCTCCAGCCAATGCCTGAGTAGAAACCTGATGAAACTTCGTTAACATAGAGTTTCAGTATAAGGCCTTCCTTCCCCGTCTTTTTTCACAGAAGTCGGACCTGTATTGCAGTCTGATGTCCTGCTCTATCTCCTCCAGCTCCCTCCCCATTTCCCTTCAGTTTCTTTTCCCTCTCAATAAACCTCTTGCACATGTACCGTATTTTTCGGACCATAAGACGCTCCAGACCATAAGACGCACCAGTTTTTAGAGAAGGGAAATGAAGAAAAAAAGATTCTGAAACAAATAGTGTCCTAAAATATTTTATGTGCATTAAAACCCAACATCACAGTCATAAACACATGTAATCAACCCTGTAAAGTAAACAACAGCATTTAGAACCATTTTAGAGCCGGGCAAGCACACAGAGACCACACAGAGCCGGGCAAGTAAAAAAACTTTTTTTTAAAGTATATGTGTAGGCTATATTTGGACCATAAGACGCAGGGACTTTCCCCCCCCACTTCTGGGGGGAAAAAAGTGCTTCTTATGGTCCGAAAAATACGGTACTTCTTTTTTAGTATTTACTTCTCACAGGACTAACACAGGTGTCAAAGGATAAATCAACGCTGCAGTTGTAATTTAGGAAAGAATAATGAGAATGTTGCATATCAAAAGGACACGGGACATCTGTAGAGGTAAATGTGTGATATTAAAAGTTTCCGTAATTATACAAGGCAGAATGAAGCTATTTAAACTAATTGCTCAGTCCACAAAATTAAAAAGAGAATAATAAACCTCACCAAAGGAAAGCCGGAGGAAGAAAGGGACACATTGTGGAAGGCAGAATGGCTCACAAAGACATCCATGCCCTCTCTGTGGATCCTGAGACTGTGTTATGTTAGATGGCCAAAGGGAATTACAGCTGTGGTTAAGGTTGCAGACCTTGAAATAGGGAGACGATACTGTCTCACCTAAGAGGCCCAACCTAGTCACCTGAGCCCCTTAAAAGCAAATAACTTTCTCTACTTGGAGTCAGATTTGAAGTGTGAGATGAATTTGATCTGCTATTGCTGGAGAAAGGTCTGCCTGAAGGCAAGAGGGTATGGTGACAGACCTATAGCTCCAGCCCAGGCTAAAGTTTTCCCCATTCATTTCCAAAGGCCCTGCCCAAGAGAACTACTGATATAGGAGTACAAGATTCTGTCCCTGCTCTCCAGGTCCAAAAAGGGGAGTGGAGACAAGCACAAAGACCCTGGACATCAGTGTATATAACAAGGGATGCCTTCCTTCAGCAGGTGGGTAGCTGGCCTTTGCTAGCAGCAGGAACCACAATCAAAAGGGCACACAGAAATGGCCTGCAGAACAGGTCTTATTCCTAGGAAGTTGGGGAAAGCTTCAGTTGGGATGGCACCATCTTGGGTGGGAAGACAGAAGGCAGTGGTGGGCAGACCACTCTCACGACATTTCTGCCTCAGCTCCAAGTGGTTCTCCAGATGTTCCCCAGGACTGGCAGTCAGGAAGGGGATGTGTTGTGTTTCACACGATCAAACACAGTTCGCCATTAGCACCTGGTGGGCCTGACAGACAGAGGGCATCCAGGTCAAAGTTGAGGCCAGGAGGCTTCTCCCCAGCCAGTTGTTTTGGAGGATGGCCCAAATCCTGTAGCTGCTACGTAAGGTCCAGCACCATCTCAAAACGAGTCTTCTGGAGGTCTCTGCTTCAGACTGCTCAAGTATCTTGCTCATAACACGGTACTGTTCCTGATATTTTCCAAACAGCTCTGAAGGTCGGGATTCCTGGTGACTCTGCAACCGCTCGGGACACTTTTCTGTGATCTCTTTCTGGGATGGGTACAGCACACCCTTGGACAGTGGGCTCTGCATGATACTCTGCATCATGGAGAGGCTGCTTCCTTCGCCATCTCCTGCCTGCGTGCCCAGCCCTTCCATGGCCGTGGTCAGCAGCTCCTCTTCGGACGTGCCTGAGCTCTGCAGATCACTGGCATTTTGGGCCAGTCCACGAAGTGTCTGCTTTAGGCAAGAAGTGAATTCTTGTTGGGAAGTTACATCTCTGGTCTTCCAGCAGCCAGTGAGCTTTCAGAGCTGCTCCACCAGGTGGGGCTCTTCCTCAGCCAACTCCTTCATTGCCTTTTCGAACTGCAGCGGCCTGGGGAGCCAGCTCAATAAATAGTTCCTGGAAAAACTGCTCTGGTGAGGGAAGAGGGCATCTTTGGCAGTGTCTCCTGGCGACCTCTTCTGGGGCCCTGAAGCATCAGGGTGGTAGGGGGAGTCTGGGGAGGTTCAGGCCTTATCGAAATCACCCAGAGCACTTTCCAGAAGCTCATCCAATTCCTGGCTTGCGTAGGCTCCAACCCCACAGTCCCCCAAGATTTTCAAATAAAATATCAGCAAACAGTATCCAGCAGCAAAATAAAAAATATAACCAAGTGCAATTTATTTTAAAAAAAGTAAAGATGGTTTAATAATAGGAACTATATTAACCTGCATAATTATGCTAGTAAAACTGAGGAGAAACCTCATATTATTATCTCCACAAATGCTGAAGCCATTAACAACATAACTTTTTATTAAAAAATAAACAATCTTAATAAAATAGGAATAGTTGTGTATTAAGCATGTTTATAGAGAAAATTTACTTCCCCTTCATAAAGGAAACAGGAGTAATTTCTCTTAAAATCAGGAACAAAAACAATAAGCCTCCTTCCTCCCCCCAACACACACTCTATTAATATTATACTGGAGTTATTAATAAAAGCAGTTAGGAAAGGGGGGGAATTATTTGTATGAAAATAGAAAAAGATGAGGTAATTTTCTTTAAAAATTATATGATCGTGTGCCTGGAAAAACAAAAAACAATTGAAAAATTACTAATATCAAGAAGAGAATTCACTAAATTAGTGGATAATAAAATCAATATATCCTTCAAATATAAAACTAACAAGTCAGAAGATATAATGAAATCACATTACAATAAACTAAATAAACAAAACCTTGAAATATATTTAAGAAGAAATGATACCAAAATCATATGAGAAAAATTTGAAACCCCTCCTGATGGGTATAAGAGCAAACTTGAACAAATGGGAAACATTCTATGATTTTAGATAAAATACTCAGCATTATGACTGTCAATGCTGAAGTTAATTTATAAATTTATTATAATTCAATAAAATTACAGCAAAGTGTATTTGTTAATTATTTGCTGGAATTAGGTTTTTAAAATCATGTGCAAAAACAATTATCACCCAGAAAAAGGAAAAAAGAAAGCAATGGAAGGGACTAGCCCAATCAGACATTAAAAATGCTATAAGGTTTAAATAATTAAAATAATAAAGACACATCCTATGCAAGGAAAAATCCAAATGGACCAAGTATTTAAATGCAAACAATAAAACATTGAAAATGCTAGAAGAAAATATGAGCAATCCTTTCAAACCTTTGTGTAGGGAAACTCTGTGACTTGAAATTCCAGAAACCACAATAGATAAGATGGATAAATTCAGCTACAAATAGAGATCATATGCATGTCAAAAGACAACAAACTGGGGGAAAATATATTTATAATCTCTTAGAAATTGAGAAGAAAACTAGATCAATGTTGGGGGTTGAACCCTGGGTTCAAAAATAAGACCACGGGAGGCTGATTAATTAATTAAAAAAAGCAGGCAAGGATTTATTGACTGGCTAGGACAGCCACAAGAGCACCACACGCAGGTGGACTCCAAATGACTGCACCGTTTCAAGGGTAGGCAATTCCTTTTAAAGGTTTAAACCGCAAGAATTTTCCTTTTGTTTCTAAAAGCCTAAAGACTAAATTCTAAAGACTGGGGACAGCCGGCAGGGTAGGTTCCCAGTCACATCCTGCTAGACATTGGAATGTGGCCCTATCTTGCCCATAATACAAAAGCAGAACTAAAGGTTATCTATAGTTTCTACCCCTGAAGCTACTGAGTCAGTGAGAGTCAATCTCCTGTAACTACCCTATTGTTTAAGCAAGTAATCGAAGGTCGAAGTCAGATAGCAAGGTTAAAATTCCAACAGCAGTTTTTACCAAAATATGGTTGCCACTATATTTCAATCAATAGGGAAATGGATAAAAGACACAAACAGATTGCTTACTGAAAAAAAATAGACAAATGGCTCTTAAGTATATGAAAAGATGCTCAATCTCATTCATAATAAGGCCAATTAAAACACAGAGATGCTCTCTTTTTCCTATAAGAATGGCAAAATTGAAAAGTCAAACAATAGTCATTGATGAGGCAATGGAGATAATAGAACATTTTAAATATATATATTTTATTGATTTTTTACAGAGAGAAAAGGAGAGTGATAGAGAGCTAGAAACATGGATGAGAGAGAAACTCGACCAGCTGCCTCCTGCACCTCTGTTGTGCCAGCAACCAAGGTACATGCCCTTGACTGGATTCAAACCTGGGACCTTTCAGTCCGCAGGCCGAAGCTCTATCCACTGAGCCAAACCGGTTTCAGCTAGAACATTTTACTTATTGCTGGTGGGTGTGCAACATGGTAAAATTCCTGCAGGGAACAAGATCTTTCAAAATAGCAAGCACATGTACCTTTCACCCAGCAATCTCACTTCTGATATTTATCTTGCAAACATACCTACATATATACACAATGCCTTAAGTGCCAGGTTAAGTGCATTGTTTCAAAATATTGAAAAGAACCAAATGTCCCTGATGAGAGTGAAATGAACTAGTATATACAAAGGAAGAGTATGCACTTGTTTACGAAGAATGAGTAAGCTCTCCATGTCCTGATGGTGGACCTCCAAGATATATTTGTTCAGGGGAGAAAAAGAGATAGATGCATTGTAATATTTATAATATGCTATCTCTTGTGTAATAAAGGGGGAAATAAGAATGTGTATTTGCATTTGCTTGTATCTGCATAAAGGCGTATTGAGAGGATCCACAACAGATTGGTAGAAATGATTACCTATGAGAGTCATGAAAGAATGTGATAATTGGTGACAGGTAAGAGTGAAAATTCTCAGGATACATTACCTTATATGGTTTTGATTTTTGGACCACATGTATGCATTACCTATGTTTTATGCAAATATGTTTTATTGACTTTTTACAGAGGGAAAGGGGGAAGGATAGAGAGTTAGAAACATCGATGAGAGAGAAACAATAATCAGCTGCCTCCTACACACCCCCTACTGGGGATATGCCTGCAACCAAGGTATATGCCCTTGACCGGAATCGAACCTGGGACCTTTCAGTCCACAGGCTGACGCTCTATCCACTGAGCCAAACCAGTTTCAGCTGCATTACCTGTTTTAAAAAAAACAACTAAGGAGAGAAACTACAGGCCAATGTCATTTCACTTTTGAACTTAGATACAGAATCAAATACTACACAGGGAATGCATAGATTTTATTACAGAAATGCAAGAATGTGTTTTAGTATTGGGAAATGTAATGACACTGTACATGAGAAGGCCATAAAAGTAAACAAACCCAAACTAAAAAACAATCAATGTGGTGATTTACACATTTGTTGATGTCTAAAAGGCATTTGGTAAAATTAAATGTTCAGTCTTAATCAAAACAAAGTGGGATTGATGGATACTTTCTTAACATGGTTAAAAATATATCAATCAACAGCTAACAGCAAAAATCTTTCCAATATAATCAGGAACCAAATAAGTTTGCCTTCTATGACAACTTTTATTTAATGATGCTCTAGAAGTTCTGGTCAAACCTTAAGGAAAAAAAGTAATTAGGTATTAAATCAGAAAACCAGAGATAAATTTGTTGTATTTGTTGTTAACAGAATTGAGTTCCTTGAGAAATGAAGAGAGTACACAAAAAGCTATTAGGAATAATGAGATGGGTGTATAAGGGGGTGGACCAGCAGAGCCCCAGGGGACTGGAGTAAACTTGGACATAGTCCTAATGCTGTGTACTCCTGTGAACCTTCGGCTCTTAACAAACAGAAGCAAATAAGCAAATAATCAAACACCAAGCTTTCATCACCCCCAGTTTCCAAAGAACTCCCACTTCGTTCTGCTCAAACAGCTTTAGAAGAGATGTGCTTGTTTCACAACAGGCATGTGGAGCACAGAGACTTTGCACTAGCTCTTTTAGTCAAACCACTAACTGCATGAGAAAGGGGAGAGACATTTTAGGCAGAAACAAACAAGATAGAGGCCGTGCAGTACTGGAACGGGACCTCCTTGCAGGTAGTTCCGTATCACTGGGTATAAAAGGTGAGCCAGGAGGCACAGAGGGTGAACTGAAGAGATAAGCAGGGGTCAGTGTAGGGATGGTCTTTAACATCTATATCAGTGATCTCGTATATTATTTTGTAAGAGATAATACCCATTGTAGGAATGTAACATAACCAACTCATATTTATGTTGGGACTTGAATAATAATAGCTGCCATGGGAAATTCTTTTGTTTATAGTTCTCAGTTCTCAGTCTTTGAGAGGAACCCAGAGCGGAAGGAATCAAATGGCATATTTGATGGGGGATAGGGTGACACATAAGTGACTCTCATTAAATGCTTGTTGATTGAACTGACAGTACTCATGGTGTGTGGGCATGAGCTGTCATATTTAAACACTTTGGAAGTAAAGAGTTCTTTCGAACAATTACCACTTGACTGAGCATTTTGATAAATTATAATGATCTTTGGGCAATAACACGTAATATAAGAATTCTATAATTTTTAGTTACCTTAATATCCAAGTTCTTAGAAACATTTTCTAGGGAAGATATGAGCTCTTGAATCGTATTTTCAATTTGCCGGTACTCGTTTCTGATGAAATGAATGTCTCCAGAAAGCTTCACAATGCTGGCGTCACATCTGGTGGCAAGATGGACATTGGTCATTTTCAATACTACAGTAGGATCTGTGCATTCATTTGATGGCAAAAGTTCTAAACTTCTTTGAATAATGAGTTGGTAAATGTAGGAACATAAATAGGACTCTTCTTAATTTTCCTCTTCTCTTCCTGATGAGAGAGAAAGCAGTCTGGATAATAACACTCTGAGCCAGTCCAGAGAACTGAGTTAGAATAGATGAAGACATTGGGGTTAACTGGGGAGAAATTTTAGATTTTTTTCAGCCTATTGTTAACTCAGCCATAGGAGTTCCAACAGGTTTTTATGTTTGGAGAATATTTTCTATATATAATATAGAAAATAAACACACACAAGGAAGAAAGATAGAAATTCTGTAAGTCAAATTTTGAATATATTATATATATATGACAATTTTAGTTAAATATTATATTGAATTTTAATTTAATGTAAAAAAAGGTAACTAGTAAAAAATTTAAAAATTCATGCATGGGTATGGTCCTTAGGCCTGCTGGCAATCAGGGTTGATCTGTAACCAGCAGGGCAATGGGGGAAGGGGGGGACGGGGAGGAGATGGTCTCCTGCTGACACCCGCCTTGGCTGGCCTGGGGCCTGCAGGCTGGGGGCAGCTACTGCATTGAACATCTTCCCCCTGGTGGTCAGTTCATGTCATAGCAACTGGTTGACCCTCTGGGACAACTTCAAATGTACCAACATCTGAATTATGGGGGTGCCAGAAGAAGAGAGAGAACAAGATGCCTTTTGTTAGATATTACATGTAATTCTTATATATTTTAAATGTTTAATCAGAATTTAATACCTTTGGGGATTTTATATGTGGTTATGAGGGTCTGTCTTTGGATGTTGGCATTTGGACACTGAGGGCTGTAAAGACAAGAATTGACCTAGACATTCTGTATAAGGGCGCTTTTCTGTAACCTTGGATCTCACAAGGAAGCATGAGGTTTTCAAATTCTATGACACACAACTATCATCTCATAAGATAAGCTTAATATAAAGACAGTACCTTGTTTGGCACAACATGGAACTTATTTGGGAATGAGAATTCAGTGGCCAGGAACAGACTGCTAAACATTAATTAGTTAACATGCTGCTTCTCACCTGGCTACTCTTCCTCGAAGGTCTCCGACTCCTTGAAGGTGTCTGCTGTTCAGCTCCTGCACTGCAAAATTAGTTCCTGTGGCCGTCTGGTCTCTGACTCTTATTTGGTCTTCTAAAACCTGTAAGTTTGAATCAAAATTCCTATTAATTTCTCTTCACACATGATAAGAAAATATTGTTTAAAGCAGAGGTTAAACAATTGAATGCATTTCTCGTTAGGCTGATAGTGACAGTCCAATTTCAAAGAGAAGCGATCCCTGCATTATCTCAGGGAGACAGAGATGGCTTGATTCCGGCCGATGGTTGCCCAGAGGGAATGGTGGTTTCATAGTGTTTAAACAGAATCCAGAACTCCAGATTTTATGTTAAGTCTCCCAGTGTTTAAATATTGACGTGTTACTCAGACTCCACCTGCCCTCAATCATGTCTTCATTATGGCATGGTGTTCTGAAGTGGAGCTGACTGCTTTATACCACCACGTTAGAGGTCCTAAGAACAGAATTTTTGAAGAAATTTTGCACTAATAATATAAATATTAATTTAATCATTGAAAACATTTTGCTTGCCCATAGAAAATAAAATGGTGTCATTTATACAAATTCCAGTGTAAAGTCAGGATATATAAAAATAATTTATATCTAGTCAGAAAACAGAGTGTGGGACTTTGGAAAACAAATTTGTGGTGTGGAAAAACATCCAAGTTTAGTTGCTGTGTATGACCAAGGCCTGAACTATATTTAAACTTATATTTATGCATTTTCTGAGGAAAAGAAGACATTTTGTAGTAAACAAATTAAGGAAATTTCAAATTCCATATACAGAATCGTAGGCTGGCAGATCAAGACAATTTGAGAGCAAATAAAGCTTTAATTAAAAACAAAAAAGTGTTGAAAACACTAGCTAGAATTTTTTATGTTTTGGTTTTTATTTGTTTTTGCATGTGTGTTGATGTTGTAGTCTGGGTTGCTATTCATATAAAAATACCACAAGCTGGGTAGCTCACGGTTCTTGAGGTTGGAAGTCCAAGATCGTGGTGCCAGCATGGCCAGGTTCTGGTGAGCGCCCTCTTCTGGGGTGCAGACTGCCAACTCCCTAGGGAGCTGTGTGGCATCTCTAATGAGGACACTACTCCCACTCACCAACATTCCACCCCACGGCCCAAGCCCCTCCCCAAGGCCCACGTCCTAAGACCACCACATTGGGCGTTAGGATTTCAAAATATGAATTCGGGGACACAAACAGTCAGATCATAACAGTAGGTGTTATGCTTTGTTTTGGTAGAGAACAGTGATGAAAGGGAACTTGCCCTACTAAATTTTATAAAATAAAGGTAGGTAAATCAGTGTAGCTGCAGAGATACGTATAGCTAAGTAGATAAATGGAATTAAGTGGTTGGTAAATTTAAGAAAGAAATAGGCTATATATGAGAATCACAAATCAGTGGGGAAGGAATTTCACAAATGGCATTGGGTTCTCTGGTAACTTACTTGGAAAACAATCCATTTAGATCCTTATGTCATACATCAATGTAGATTTTAGAAAAAATATATTATAAATAAATAAAATGTTAAACCATAAAAATGACAGATAATAGAGGGGATTATTTCATCTTTGAATAAAGAGTTTTCTATTTTTAAAAGTAATGAGAGCAACCACAAAACCAAATACTGGAATGTTTAATTTTATAAAAAGCTCATAAAACATAAATATAATTAAAATAAAAACAAACTGGATAAACATTTATAACAACTGTCACTGCTGAAGGTTTCAATGCTATGCTACAATCAGCATGCACCTGTCTGCGAGAGTCAACCGCATTTACCTCTTCTCATCTTTGTGCTCAGTAACATACTATTGGTATTCAAAATCAATCATAGAGTATTTACACCATACAAACAGGCAAACACTGCAAATCGTATTTTTATCACCCAGAAAAAATTGATTGCAGATTGTTAAACACTTCCTAATGTACCACTGGTTGTTATTCTTAATTAATAATAAAAAAGCACATCAAGTCGATAAGAATGAAAAAGCACTAACTTCTCCCCCAAATAAATTGACTAAAGACATTAACAGATTATTGACAGAGAAAATGCAAATAATTATGTCACTTTTAAGAAATGAAAGAAAGATTTCATTTCTATTCCATCATATTAGCAAAGATTGAAACAATAAATCTCAAGGCTGGCATAGGCACAGTGAAGATAACACGTTCATATAATGCCAATGGAAGTATAAATAATGATAAGCTTTCTGGAAACCAACTTAGAAAAATGCATCAAAAGTTTTCACCGTGTTCATCCCCAGTAATTCTATTCTAAGAATATATAGTATAGAAATAATCTGAATGCCTACACATATCTCTGCACAAATATATTTCAATATTAGGAGAATAATTAGGCAAGCCGTGGTGTATGTAGCATGCAAAGAGCTTTTAATGATATATAAAAGAGTTTATGACATAATTATATATTTAAGATTGTGCTTACAAAAGTATTCTCAGCTTACTGAATGAAATGTCTGGAAAGACTAGAGGGAGATACATCTGAGTGTAGAGATTAAAATTTGTTGCTAGAATTGTGAGAAATTTTTTCCCCAGGTATTAAATTTTTTCTCTTAAACTTTCAAAATAATTACAATGAACAAGTATTACTTTTGTAAGTTGGAGAAAAACACAATAAAGCAATGTTACACATAAAATTATTTTCTTGAGTTAAAAATTTTAAGTTAATTAAAAAACTTAAAACAAGTTTATTTTAAAACATAATTAGCTGGCAGGTTAAAAAATAAATAACTTGATTTTTTAAAGGAACAAGCAACTTAACGGCTGCAATTATGGTTAATTATAAAATTTTTCCATTCATAATTAGATCTATCTTGCTGGCTAATTTGTAAAAAAAAAAAAAAATGAGTGTAGATTCTTTTAAAATACTTGAATAGCATTCATTCCTCTAAAAATGCTTATTAATTGATAGTCAGTTATTTACTAAAGGTAGCCTAATAATTTCTTCTTCATAATATTTTAAAATAATACATATTTTTATTGATTTTAGAGAGGAATGAAGAGGGAGAGAGAGATAGAACATTAATGATGAGAGAGAGTCATTAATCTGCTGCCTCCTGCACACTCCCACTGGGGATTGAACCCGAAATCTAGGAATATGCCCAGAGCAGAAATCAAATAGAGACCTGGTTCATAGGTCAACACTCAACCACTGAGCCATGAAGGCTGGGTTCATCTTCGTAATATTTTAACTATATTGTCTTCATTCTTTAAAACATTTTCTAATTCAGTTTTCCGCACAATCAGAGCAGTCCTCCTCATTTTTCCTATATATGCCAAACCTTTAATAGGATTGTAAATATTTTGAGATTTAATAATTTTTGGAAAATGTTTCAGCTTTGTCTTTTTTCAGAGCTAATCTAAAATGCTATATTATATTGGGATAGAAAAAGAAGCTCTTAGTGAAACTTCTAGAGATTTGTGAACGTTTATTCTCTTAATGCTAAGATTTTTTATTGGGGTATAATTAATATGTATTAAAATGTACAAATCAAAGTGTACATATGAAGATAATTTGATGGATATGATTCATCAAATAATTTTGATGAATATAATCAACTATATAACAGCTACAGTACTCAGATCAAAATATAGAATATCCTAGAAGCATTTTGATATTTCTGAGAATGCTGTTCTCTTTCCAATCACAGAGAAATTTTGACTGCTGAGTTAGGATCTTACATTAGTACTTACCTGATTTTCTCATCATCTCAAAGGCACTGTTTCTCTTGTCACTTTCATGACACTTTATTATGCCTGGGAACAGCTTTCAGGGACTTTACAAGTGGCACTGATTTTTAGGCCCTCAGGTCAATTCAATATATGCTCAGCACTAATAAAGTGCCTTTTAAAAGTTCCCTACGTTTTTTTAAATTCCTATACTTCCTCAAGTGCATTATGGGGTTTTCCACACCATAGATTAAAAGTAAATTAATAAATACAATATTCTTAGTCTTAAATACAGTGTCATAAGGAAGTCATTGATAGGTCAATCTAATTTTTTTTTAGCCCATTTACTTTGATAAAAGGACATATGGGAGGGAATTATCCATTTTCATGATAATTCCACACAGTTTGGCCAGCTTTCTAAATTGTATTCTATGAAACCCTTGTCTGGAAGTTGCTACCCCAGATTAGTCAAGCCCATCAACACTTTAAAAATAAGGCTGAAATATGTGTAGTTAAAACCTGTCTATCATGGTTTAACCCAAGCATTTTCTTTTTTGATCAGAAACTCTAGTTTACCTTTAGTAGCTTAAACATCATTCATTCATCCATTCAACCATTCAGGAGATATTTATAGTGCTGACTACCTACCAGCACTCTCATTATCTGGTGTGGGATTTAGCAGTGGACAAAACAAAGTCCCTGCCTCATGGACATTATATTTTAAAAGGGGAAAAAGCAACAATAAACAAATATAGATTGTGTGAGTTTGCAATAAGTGCTATGGATAAAAACAATGGAGGGCTTCACTTCTGACCACTCAGGAAACTATTCACTCTAATTCTGACCCCATGGTCTCTCCTTGGCATTTTCAGGTGTGGGTTTCCCACTCTGAAATAAATGGCTTTGCTTCAAATCTCCTTCCTGCTGTTTTCTGTGGAGTTCTGCAAAGTCACATGTGATAGCATCTTTCATATTTCCAGTGATCAGATTGTCTCCCCCTAGTGACTAATGTCAATCACCACTCCCCTGAGATCCAATTTTAATGAAGAATCAGCCAAAGGAGTCTTCCACTCAACCTACAATAACACTCAATTCCAGTAAAGCCTGGGAGACAAAAACGGGCTAAGAACTGTCCCTCTGTTAACTGTAAGTAACCTCAAAAAGCTCTGCTTCTGCCCTGCTGGCATGGCTCAGTGATTGAGCGTCGAGCTATTAACCAGGAGGTCACAGTTTGATTCCTAGTTAGGGCACATGCCTGGGTTGCAGGCTTGATCCCCAGTGTGGGGTGTGCAGGAGGCAGCCAATTAATGATTCTTTCTCATCATTGATAGTTCTCCCTCTCCCTCTCCCTCCCCCTCCCCCTCCCCCTCTCTCCCTCTCCCTCCCTCCCTTCCTCCCTCCCTCCCTCCTTTCTTCTTTCCTCTCTGAAATCAATAAAAATATATTTAAAAAAAATAACAGAGGGCTTAAGGGAGATTGTGACTGTTGCGGGGCAGGGAGGGAGAATTGGGTGCTATTTCATAGCATGTCAAGGAAATCCTTTCTGATAAAGAGATATTTGAGCAGGGACCTTAAGGGAGTGAAGAACATTTCTTTGGAATTTTGAGGGGAAGATGATCAAGCCAGAGTGAATAAGTTGCAAGTGCAAATGCCACGAAGCCAGTGTGTTTGGTATGTTCTAGGAAGAGCAGGGAGGCAATATGGACAGAGTGAAGGAGAGAGCAGTGGGAGATGGGGTCAGAGAGATTTTGGGGGTCAGATTGTAATGGGCCTATGAACCAGTGATAACAATACACTATAAAAACCTCCATTTGAAATGACTGCATTCATATAATCTTGGCGATTTACACTAAGATAAATACCTTAGCATAATGTTTGACATAATGTTAAAAACAGTTGTCTTTGTTGTCCCATAGATGTTTAACAAACATTTTTCAAGTATAATTTACTTTTTGGCATAAATGAGCAGTTGGAATATTGAACTGTTTTCCTCAAAGGTGATTACATTGTCATCACTTAAACAATAGCAACTCGTTTCTATAGCTGAAAAAATGGCATTGGTGGTTGATAGTCTTTGATAAGCAATGATGCCAACATATGGGAAATAAAGAACTACCTCAATGTTTTGGCTGAGATTTTTGACGATGCTGGTGATGATCTGGATATGGTTTTCCAGCAACTTCCTGGCAAACAGCTCCTCTTTTCGAAAGCCTTGGGTCCCCTGAAGACAAGCAGAGATGTCCTCTCTGATGCGGAAAGCTTGCTCAAGGAGGAAAGCTATGGTGTGCTCCTGGTTGTTCAGCTTGTCTTCTATCTGACTTCGCTGGGTGTTTGGAATGACAGGAAGGAAAGAATGATCCCTGGTCAGGAAAGGGAAACAACACCGGGGGCTGTTACGAGAATGAGCATGGAGGAGCCACACCAGTACTCTGTGTGCTCACGTCTGCATTTTCTCACCTGTGAGAAGTCTGGCAGGACTTGAGCACTTGCATGGTTAGAATCATGGTTTATATCTCATCTAAAAAGCAGTTCTGACCTACTTCTTGATTTTGTAGCATGCATTTTTCTTTTTTTAAATCAATCTTTATTGTTCATAGTATTACAAAGGTTCCTCATTTCTTCCCCCTTCCACCAGGTTCCCACCCCATCCTCTGCCCCCTCCCCACCCCCCATTGTCCTCATCCATAGGTGCACAGTTTATGTTCAGTCTCTTCCTCTCTCCCTTTCCCCAGAACAGTCAGTCCACTCCCCTCCGATATCACTGACTCTACTACAATGAACCGCTATTATTGTTCATCAGGTTTTTTAATCTCCTTTTTTTGTTATTGTTGTTGTTGTTGTTGTTGTTGTTTTAATTAATAAACTTTTACACTTCTAAGAATAAATTTTAAAATCTAATAATTTTAAACCTTGTTTTTTTTTTCTGCCCTGGGAATTGAGAGCAAACTTGTTTACATGTAAACTTGCCCTTAGGCTATCAAAAGGTGTAGCCCTTCAAGTGTAAATGGACACGTTGTTTAAACATAGCTGCTGGTTGGAATTGGATTACCTGTTCTGGGTGGGAAGGGCTTGTCATTGCCTTTCTCCATTAAAATTAAGGTGTTAGCTTTAAAACCTCTTTTTGGCAAGAGACCTTAAACTTTCAGAACTTTAAATTTTACAGATAGTAAATTAGTTACTTAGCATTTTCTCAAATCAATAATACCTCCACATGCCCAGGGATACACTTCACACAAAAGACATTTCCAAATAGATCAACCAACCTCATCCAGGCCCCACACAAGGCACTCACAGCGCTATACTAACTCAACACATCCAGATCTAAGCCTTCCTCATTTGATTCAGCAGACCCTCAAGTTCCCCCAAAAGTTTCCAGCCATGTCTGAGAGGCAGCCTTGGGGTGGAGGCAGGCGAGGAGCAAGCTGTTCTGGGCCTGGCTGCTCCGGGCCTGGCCTCTGTTGCTCTGGTCCGTTCCACAGCCAGTTGCTCTGGGTCTGGCCACTGCCGCTCTCGACCTGGCTGCTTCGGGCGTGGCTGCTGCTGCTCTGGGTCCTGCCGCTTCGGGCCTGGCCGCTCCCAGCCTGGCAGCTGTAGCATGCATTTTTCATGTTTCAAGCAGGAATTATTCTATATCTTACCTATTATTCTAACAAGCCAAGTTGAATCCACATAAATTTAATACTTGTTAATTCTGTATTGTGAACAGGGCTGCCTCCTTATGGCTATAAGAAATGAGAGCTCAAAGGCAAAGATTAACACATGAGTCAGTTCAATGAAGAGTAAGAAGAAAAGACAAAAGCTAGGGCTATATGGTCTTCACTTACTCATTCATTTAACAAATATTTATTGAGCACTTATCCTGTGCCAGACTCTATCTCAGAACAACTTTGAGGATCATCCTGGCTCCAGAGCTCTGGGATCAGCTGATACTTCCTTGCAACACATCACATCACTTTTCTTTCTTCTCAAATGTTCCCCTCCCTTCACTTGCACAGGCATGCATCCCAGAGCACTCCATAGTAAACCAATCTCTGTCCCCGAGCCTGTTTCCTGGGCAGCCCAACCTCAGGTGCCTGAGACAGATGTAGTTGTAAGTGGATAAAATGGGGAAGAGGGGCCACTGTAGTACTGCTTTTGCTTCTCCACTTATGGCCTTGGGACAAATTTCAGACTCTAAGATCAGGCAAGGTAGAGACCTGGGTTGGTAAGAAGCTGAAACAATAACAACCACCAATTTGGGGAACAACTGACCTTGGGCAGTTGTCTCTACACTGCTCTACCTCCACATGCCCCAAGGTAGGAAAGCACCTGCTCACTGGATCTGACAGTCCTCCACTGGAGACAACGTCTAGCTGAAATCCCAGGGAGCAAATGAACTCCCAGGCCAAAAGAACAGGACATTGGAGGAGCAGTCTTTTAAAAAGCTGGCCGACAATGAAACAAGCTACTGGACAGAAGATTCTTACAGAAGATAAATACATACAATAAGAAATTGTACAAAAGCTAATGAATTATTAAGAGAAAAGATAAGGGAAGATATTAGTAAAATAAAAACAAAAAACTAGAAAACATAAAAAGCAAGCCAGTAGAAATATTAGGCATGAAAAATATAATAACTAAAGTAAAGAGAAATTAAACATGGGATAAAGGCAACAGAGGGATTAGCTGAAAAATAAACTAGAGATTTGGGAGATCAGATGAAGGGAATGTATGAGGCAGAAAAAGGAATGGTCACACAGTTTGGAGATAGTAATGTCAAAATTTGAAACTCATGTCTGTCTGACTCTAAAATCCAATGTTAACTTTAACTCTCACGTTCCTATCTTTCTAGGAGATAATCAGCAGCAGCAGGGGACACAATTTGATTAACACTACTCATGTGACCTAATAGAGTGGTAGCAGAATGACAGACAGTGTCCCCAAGTTCCATATCCACTCTTTCTTTACTTCTTCCTTTCTTGGTCTTAGCCGCTATTATCTCCTCTACTTTCCCTCTTAACAAAGACTGCAGCCTCCACACAGCAGCTAACGGGGTCTTTCTTAAAAGTGCAAATGACAGCACTTGCCTACATAAAACCCTCTGGTGGTTTACTCATTCTCTGAGAATACAATCTTTGCCTGCCTTTCCAACCTCATCTCCTCCCACTCTTCCCTCCATTCCCTTTCATTGAACACACAGGCCCTCTTTCTGTTCCTCGAACAACAAGCTAGTTCCACGCTCAGAGATCTGGCACCTGCTGTTTCTTCTGCTTGGAAAGCTTTTCTCTGCAGTCCCTCCTGGCTGCCTCCTCATTGTTTAGGTCTTACCTCCAATGCCCCCCTCCTGAGACAAGCCTTCCCCTCAGTCAGTTTCTATCGTAATATCCCATTTCCTCCTCTCCATAGCATTTGTCATCACCCAAACTTACCTTCTTTACTTGTTTGTGTTTATATTCTTCCCTCCATTGCTAGAATGAAAGCTCCCTTTGTGCAGGCACGCTAACTTGTTCCACCACACCGCAAAAAGTGCCTGACACATAGTAGGTGGTCAGGGAGTATTTGTTGACTGACTGACTTCTCTAGCTGGACTGTTTGTTCACTTAAGGCTCAGTTGTTGGAAAATTGGAGGAAAAAATGGTTTCATAAGTCCACAGGTTCTAAGAGCTTCAAGGATTACAGTTTCCTCTCTTAAGCAGCATAAAATGCCCTTGCCCGGGTGAGAGTCCTCTTCCCTACCACTTGCACATCTGAGCAACAAAGAAGGATTTGCTAATCAGATTTGACTCAAAATGTTCTTTTGGAAAATCACCAAATGGAGCCTTGTCTAGATAAAATCCATTCTCTTAAAAACTCTAGCGTGCTGACAGTGCTACCCCGGATGTCTGAGTCATAGGCTGAGGGAGGAGGATGTTGGGCCCGGCTGATGGTGACACATAGCTTAGTGGTGGACTGCAAATTTGCTCATTATTTTTCTTGAGCGAGTGCTTCTTTCTCACCTCTAGACAACGTGCAGCCCGAATTTGCCAGTGAAAGGGAATCTGATCTTCAGTCTTCAGTTCTATTCAGAAACTTGTAAAGTATGCTGCATTCCTATCATTAAGATTTTCTCCTATAAGAGGAACACAGAGCTTATATTTCCCCCTATTTCCATTTACCAGAAGAAAAGAGAAAGTTGTTTTCCAGTCGTTTTTTTCTAAATCAACAACTGAAAGCACAGGTGGGTGAAGTCTTCATTTTCTCAGAGAGATTTCCAATGATTGTCCAAATCATCAGGTCACCCAAAGGTTAAAGCTGAGGCCTTTTGCTGTAGCACAATGTGGCCACCATGATTCTTTTCCAAATAAAAGCCATTCACTGCTTCATTCCTTCGTATATGTGCTACTCAGTGGGACTCAAATGTATCAATAACTTTAACTGTGAAAGGAAATTTAACTGAATATTCCGGACGAGTCACTAACCACAGGAGGAAGAATTCCTGGGGGACTTTCAGAGAGAGAGATTTGGGAATTACATAAATCATTGATGATGCAGCTGGCAACTGAATCCGCACAGAGTTTCCACAAACTCTGAATTCTGTTTCTCTGCAGTTTGGTGTGACTTGCACGAGCTGTGCTGTTGCTGGCAGATGCGCCAGTGCATATAGCCTCTCGCTTCTCTGCCTGTTCTGTTCTTGCGAATAGAGAACTAAATTTACTTAGAAGATTCTGAGAACCATTTTGGCAACCCATAATTCTCAAAATATAAAAATTTGAAAATTTAACCCCTGTTTCCAGAACACAAAAAGCCATAATAATTTAAGAAAATTTTCATTTTTGTGAGATTTAATATATGACTAGTTAACATGAGTAGTGCAGAGTCCTGCCATATATGTCTAGATAGTATAAATCTCTATCTATCTATCTATCTATCTATCTATCTATCTATCAATCATCTATCTAGAGAGAGTGTGTTCCCCAAAATGTATACACACTTAGCAGCTGATAGCTCACTTGATGTTTGTTTCTTTTCAGAGTTAACCCATTGGAATAAATAATTATTCAAAGTGTGTTTACATTTCTTGGGACACCGTGTGTGTGTGTGTGTGTGTGTGTGTGTGTGTGTGAGCGCGTGCGTGTGTGTAGTGAAGTTTTACAGAACATTTTGATGCCTTACACAAATAATTTAAATATGTGCGTGTGTGTTTGTAGCAATGAAGTTGAAAATATATTTTATAAAGTTTCTCCATTGCTTATTTATAACCCCCTGGCAGATGGATTTTGGTGGCTACAGCAGCCTCCATTGCTTAGTTTTACAGAAGGATGAATGCTCTAGGGAAGTGAGGGAAGCAATTTGTGTTTCTGTGGGTGAAATCTGGGAGGAAGTAGACCAAGGCCAGTAGGGTTAGGCCAGCACTGGGGTCTGCATGAAGGGGTTTGGGAAGGAGAGGACTCCAAACAGTGGCCAGGCCAGGAGGAGACTGGAAAAGGAGACTGATTGGGGGTGTTTTATGGAGAAAAGTTGTCTGAGGTGAACTCCTCTTGTTTAGTATATTAAAAGTATAAAATTCAGAATTAATGATGTACCTATTGTGATTTCTTATAGAGGCTAGCAGGTGAGAGCTAATTGCTTTCAAAGAAGGATATGATATTGCAAAACAAAACCTGGAAGATCTCCAAGCTAACATGACTTATCCCATAGAAAGCTCAGATAACAGCGTTTTGTCTTCCTTTCTTGTGTACTGTAATGTGAAATATCCATCTCCATCATGTAGCAACAAAAGCAATCCATCATGGTCTAATAAAATATCTGCCATGGTACTAAGACCTTGAAGATATATGCTTTCCAGACCCTGAATGCCATATTCTACCAGAAAGAGAAATCATTAATCATTGATTCTTTTGCCCATTTGACTTACTGATCGTTTCATGTATCTAAGGTTAAATTCCATTCTTTGGATGTCAGCCGCACCTTTATCTTCCCAAAACGTACTACTGAGGGAATACCTGAGGTACGAATTGGCTAAAGGCCAGTGCAGACAGCTCCTCATTACAAAGAAATTTCATATCCCTCATCAAGATAGCATCGTAGTTCAAGTTTATACTTCTCTTTTAATTCCAGTCCTCTTCACCTCATTGATGTTTTGGCCACACTATAGGGATCTCCTGCTTTAGAAACTTTGCTCTTCCTTAAAATGTCCACATGGCCAACTTCCTCATCTGGTCTCCACTCACATGTCAACTTCTCAATGAGGCCTACCCTTGTCAGACTTTCTACGATGTGTGTCCCTTCTTCCTGCTAGAGCAGAAGCTGCGTGAGGGCAGGGATCTTTGTCTCTTCTGTTCACTGATGGCTCTCTGAGTGCCCAGCATAGTGCCTGCCACTTAGTAGATACTCGATAAATATTTGTTAAGTGAATAAATGGTGATAACCAATTTTTGAAGACCAAAGAATCTTAGTGACAGAAGAGACCTTATCAATTATTCGATTCAATAGTATGAAATGTTTCAAGGAGTGTCGGTTGAAGAAAAAATTATGGATGGAGTTTGTTTTCCATTCCAAAATTAAATCCCATGGGCAAATAATGTATGTTCTTAAATCTTAGCCATTTACTTTACTACACAAAAGAATATTTATGAGAAACTGTGGGCAGAGCTGAGAAATAGAAAGTAGAGGGATCTTTCTAATCCACATCCTGGAAAGGAATAGGATCGAAAGGCTTATCTTTCTCAGATGGTTTAATGCAGTCTCTTTTAAATGCAGGAACTAGTTTGGATGAACGAAAGATCTTTTTCAACCCCTTTAATCTCTAACTGAATCATTAAATACAGTAAGTAGGTAAAACTAGTTATAATTTACAGACTCACTTGCCAGCATATTCAACTAGATCTGTAGAGTTCTTGGTTGACATTTTGAATGGAGATAATCTTACCTAAAACAAAGGTCGTGGCTTTAAAATGCACCATTGGGAAATTCCTATCTATCTTATCCTTAACATAAACTTTTAAATTTTAGAAAAAACAAAAGCTATAGATCATGGACCATCATTCCAGTTAATCTTGCACAGACCCCTTTTGTATTGGTAGAGACAAAACCTAAAGTCAAGTTCTGGGAAGACACTAGGGAGCTGCATTTCATAGATGTGGTATCATAGGAAAAACTTTGGGAAAGGTCAAAGTCATAGATTATTCTTAGACTAGTAGCCCTGCACATGAATCTGTGCACCAGTAGCTCGTCAGTATCTCACTGCCATCCTCCAGTAGTTCTCTGCCTACTGCCTCACCCTCCTGTAGCTCCCTACGCTCTTTCCCCCCCCCCCCCTCGTAGTTTGCTGCCCTGCCCCTCCTGTAGCTCTCCACCGCTCACTTGTAGCTAGCTGCCCCACCCTCCCGCTGATCTGTGATCCGGTTGTTGATACGTAGTCGGTCATTACGTTTCATGGCATAACAACCATTTGCATATTACATCTTTATTATATAAGATAATTTTTAAATGAAATATCTAGTGATTATTGGATGAGTTGCTAAAAAAAAGTCCTTACAGAGTGAATTATTCCTGACATGTTGAATTTCAAGGGAAATCAGCTAATTTTCTTTAAAAAAAAAACCCAAACTAGAAAACTAGTCTATCAGGGTAGTTTATTTTCCACTAGAACCGGAAGCCAGTTTATTATAGCCAATGAGAAATCAAAGTCAGAGCACAGTTGCCCAGGCAGAGTGGCTCAGTCATTGAGCATTGACCTATGAACTGGTGGTCACAGTTCGATTCCCAGTCAGGGCACACATGCCTGGAGTTGCAGGCTCAATCTCCAGTGTGGGGCATGCAGAAGGCCGCCAATCAATGATTCTCATCACTGATATTTCTCTCTGTCTCTCCCTTTCCTCTCTCTGAAATAAATTAAAACATATATTTTTTAAGTCAGACACAGTTATGTACCTAACTTTCTAGTACTAAACATAGTTGAGCATATGAATGCTTAGCTATTTTTAAAAAATGGCATCACTAGAAAGTTCTATGTGCATTAAAGTTCATAATTTTGTAGCATTTATAGGAAGAAAGAGAATCAAAATGTACTCACTGTGTTTGCATATGTTATGAAACTGTTTTGAACTCTAATGCTCTTTTATTTTAAGTTTAAGAACAGGACACATTTTTATCTTCATTTTAATAACCTGTCACTGAACTAGATTCAATAGGAGAGAAGAGTGGAATCCCATCTCATTTTAAAACTTAAACAAAATATGTCCCTAGGATATTTTTTTCTTGCTTTATGTTATTGTATAATGCGATGGTGAGCAGAATATGTTGAGACCCACATACAGAAATTGTTCGTTTTGCAAATGCTTAAGGAATTACCACTTCTTCTTAATTTAAGGCCTAAGGAACTTAATTGGAAATCTAGCTCCTCCAGTGAAACTTAAGAAAAAAAGTCTACCAAGGAAGCTAACAATAGAAAGACTCTCCTGACCTAACCTGACCTGGCCTAGTCTGGCCTGGCCTGGCAAGCAGAACAGACTTTAGACCCTCTCCCCATTGCTGAGTAGAGTCTGCAGTGGGTCTGCTGCTCTGCAGCCTGGTCTTTCCCTAGAGAAAGAATATAATGATCCACTGGGTGCCCAGGTTCATATTGTGCAAACCACCCTCACGCCCCAGAGACCACGACTGACTCGCTCCTGTTCTTGTTTTCACCCCAGTTTTCTGCTGGAACAGTGCTGATCCTGTTCCTCACTTACTGATGCCAGCTGTTTACTGCCCATCTCTCCAGGCTGCCCTGGCCTGTGGGAGTCTGTTTGTGGCATTTCCTCAGCAACTGGCTGGTCCCTATAAGTGTGGCACCTAGTCACTCTTTGTGTTTGTGGAATGAGAGAGTAATGATGACTGTTTTGTCCAAGGACACTAAATTACTGGGTTATTGTCTTTTTTTCTTCTCAAGGGAAACAATTGGCTACATATGTTTTATTTTTATTTTATTAATTTTTAGTCTTATTTGGAAAACCATAGGTAGCATCCTCTTAACACACCTACAAGTCATAAACTTCTAAACATATGTTAAACTCGATCAAGGAGGAAATTTTTAAGAATATAGAAAAATGAAAGATTCAGGAAAAATGTTTTCACTTATAATTCTGCTTTGAGAAAAAGTCATTAATATTATTGGATATATATTTCCTCTTTATTTCTGTGCAATTTTTAATATATCTAACACAGTAAATTTAATAACTTTGCTAATTTCATGTAGGAGTTTCTGTTTCAGCTCGGTTTCATCCCTATTCCTACAATCTAGAATGTTATTACATAAAAATTCTCACAAAAAACTTGATGCTTATTATGGGAATTTTTACATGCATCAGTTTTCACTTGTTTCAGAATACTTGAAAACATTGTGGTCCTTTATGTTTAATTGCCTATAAAATAACGTCCATATGTCATGTGATTTTATCAAAAGAATAACAGTTATTTTAAGTAACTGAAATCCTTCTTTATTACAGAAAGAACTTAAGATGATTATTTTTATAGGTGATGAATCTGAGGAGCAGAGAAGTAATGGACTTATTCAAGGTTATATGGGTAATGATAATTATATTATAGCTATTGACTGAGTCCTTCCTACATGCTAAGCTCTTTACCTTAGTGGCCCATTCAAACCCTACTTCTTTGAATGGCAGGCTTAATTAACCCATTTCACAGAAAAAGAAACAGAGAGGTTAAGTCATTACTGAAAGTCGTTCAGCTAGTGTGTGGTACAATCACTAGATAAAAAATATCAGTGCTTGACATGAAGCTGCACCTGCTAGTCAGGTGACACGGGAATGAAAAAGAAAGTCTGAAAACACTTCATTTTTTGAATGTTCTTTTTCATTAATGGGGAAGCTATGACAAGTACCAATAAGAGATACATTCCATTTAGCTGACCTGTTTTTCAAGTTATAGATGCCATCTATACCTTGACTTTATCATAGTTTCTTTTGTATCTTACTAAAAAATAATTTTGTTAATTTTTAGCATACATATTAAATGTCAGTCCAATGAATGTATTCAAAAATTGAGCCCCTTTTGCTTTTTTAACTTGTGTTGGCATTTGCCACTTTGTCAAAGCAGAAAAAAACAACAAACCAACAGGAAATGTGGGTAGAGTGAAAACAAAAACAACTTTTCCAGGATTCCTTAGAAGTCTCTAAGCAATGCTGATCTTTAAAGAAGGTGAACAAAATATTCTATCTTTAATAAGACTAGCTAAAAGTACTTACTTTGTTTTCCTGATCACTGGCTGAGCCAGGAAGGGGGCCATCAGGTTCATCTGGCTGTTCCTCCTCAGTCAGGGAGACACTTTTGTTTATATCTGTATCTAGGCAACCAGAATGCTGAGTCAGATCAGGAACTATGGCACATGAATTTCTGCAGTGGTAATTTTTTAAAACTGTATTATTGTACATATGGCAATGGTTAAAGAGAGCCTTCCAATTTGGCTTATACTCCCCTCTTCCCTGCTTACTTACCTCAATAGCACCACCCCAAGGCCCTCCACTCACACCTATAGTCAGCTAGAAGAGCTTATCGTCTCAGGTACTTCTTTGGGATTTATTACCTTGTTTATATGTAATATGAAATATTAGTCAGATAGTAAAGTATGAGAAATTCAGAGACCTTGAGTAATCCATGAGATAAATACCTGAACTCATGATGCTTGATTTCCTGGCTTTATTTTTTATTGATCTGATCTTTCTGAAGGGAAACAGAGACTTTAAAATTTTTTCTTTCTTTGAAAGACAGAGTACTAACGAATATTGATTGAATCCTGACTAAAGTCTTTCTATTTCTGGAGTATTTTCCAGGGTGGCTCAGCAGCATTGTGACTGCAGGAAGAATCTGTGATGTCAGTGGGGTTGGCCCTCACACTTAAAGTCCATAAATTTCTGAAATTTAGGAACTTGACGTGTCTTCCTTAATGCTCATTGTCATAAAAATCACTGGGTCCTTTACTTCTTTGTCTCATTGGATGGGATGTGGCCATTTAAAAACTGATATGTCATACTCTCCTTCTGATTTCACCTTCACAGTTTAGTAAAAGAATAGTTTCCATCAAAATAGACAAAGAAAATTGGTAGTTACAAAACAGTCATAGGGTGTAAAGTTCAGCATAAGGAATAATCAATAATGTAATAATTAGGTATGATGCCAAGTGGGTACTTGAATTATCAGGGATGGGGGGATCACTTTGTAAATTATATAACTATCTAACCACTATGTACACCTGAAAATAATATAAAACACTTTTGAATATTCACTGTAACTGAAAAATAAAACAAATAATGAGCTAGAGGGGTTAAAGAAAAAAAAAAATAGACAAAGAAAATGAATTACTACAGTACTTCCAAATTTTCCTCTAGTATGCTAGTTAAAAGGAAGTTAACACTTCTAGGCCAGGAGGGGGAGTTTCTAAAAGAATGCAGGAATGACAGGTGAGCCTGGACAGGGCTTTAAACAAATTAAAATATTAAAGGGCATTGTATGGGAAATTTTGTTCAGTTCTTTGACAAAAAAGAAGAAGAAGAAGAAGAAGAAGAAGAAGAAGAAGAAGAAGAAGAAGAAGAAGAAGAAGAATTGAATTATATCAGCTCTGGAATATTTTCTTTAAATTATATTATTGTCTGAGTTACTTTTTAAATTATGGTGCTCTGTTTGCCTTGCTCTGAGAATATATGGTGTTTAGGATGATGAATTACAAACTTTTATTCCACAGATAAATACCACCCATAGGTTTTGGCTTCAATAGTATGTCTTCTAGTGCTAAACTAGGCCCTTAAAACTTAAGAGATATAGTATTTTATAATTCTTGAAGCAGTCCAAAAGGTTCATTTAATCATTCTGATAATAATTTAATCAAGTGTCAAAGGAGACTGAACACTTGTGACAGAGGACAGGTGGCTGTGGATACCAAGGGAAAGAGTGAGACCTTGACTCCTGGTATTTACTTTGGGCAAGATTACCCTTCAAGTTTCAGCTTTCTCATCTGTAAGGTGGAGTAGTAACAGTGACCTCATAAGGTGGTTGATAGGATTAAGGGCAATAATACACTTAAAGTTCTCAGCTGAGTACCAGGCCAGGAATCCACTAAGCTGGATCTATTATTAGTGATTATTTTACAAGCTGGCAATTATCCAAGAAATGGATACAAAGTCTGTGTGAGAAAGGAAAACTGGATTTGACCTTGCTGAACAACTTTCCTTAAATTCAGCTTCTAATCCATATGATTTGGCTAGAAGAATGGACGCAAATGAAATGAGTCTAGCCTGTTAGTTCTTTAAATGGTTGCTTAGTTTTTCACAGAACAGTGCACATCTACACTAATAAAAGAGAAACATGCAAATTGACCATCCCTTGCTACACCTACCAGCCAATCATGAGCAAGTATGCAAATTAACCCAACAAAGATGGCGGAGTGAAGACTGAAGACAGCATAGTAGGAAGCCAAGCACTGCAGAAGGGAGCAAAGCAGCGGAGAAGGAGGCGAAGCCCGCCCCCACAGACTTTGCTCCCTTCTCCACTTTGCTCCAGCTGCAGGAAGGCCTATTCTTGCAGGAATCTTCCTGCAATGGGCCTCTAGTAATATATATGTATATTAAATTCCCTCCTGCTTGAATGTACATGTTAAAATTCTTTCTGGAAGTCAATGATCTTCAAAGATCATTTCTAATCCAGGTATTCCAATAGTATATATATATATATATATATATATATATATACACACACACTATTGGAATACCTGGATATATATATATTTATATCCTAAAGCACAAAAACCAAAACCAATAATGTTTAATTTTGATTTTATGAAATTCATCGTGAGGTGGTGTACAGTGAAGGGGCTGGTTAGTATTGAAGTTCAACCAAGACAGAATTGCTGTGTGGTATTGGGGCACGATTCACACAATAACACTAGATTTTCACATTTGTTTGACAAGGGGAAGTAAGGGGTCTTGAGGAAGGAGCACCCATTTCTAACTCATGAAGAGTGTACAGGGGCCAGTGGCAGCCCCCACCTTGAGTGGCTGCTGAGTGCTGTGTCCTCAGCTCAACTAGCCTCAACCAGCCGCGGGCCACAGCAGCGTGTAGTTATTGGCAGAGAGTGTCCGCTTCAACTTCCTTTTCTTTCTCTTTTCCCACATTTCGACCTGGGAACTCCTAGGGCTTCATACCTTTTTGTGCTGTTCTAATTGTATCCACGCTAGTTTCCAAGTAAGCTTGATGTGTTTAGCAATTGATCATTTAGAAGATATCCTTCATGTTCCATCTCATGATTTTGCTGAGGAAGGCAGTGCAGATGTGAATATCCTGATTTTACAGATAAAAATACAAGGAGAGCCAGAGAAATTAAGGGTCTTGCATAAGCAAATGGTGAAAATCTGACCAGATCCCGAGTCTTCCCATCTTCTTTGTGCAACTTCCTTCCAGGGATGCATCATAATGAATTGTGCTAAGGTGCCAGTGTTTGACCTCCATTCTAAAGGGCTGCTCAGTGCTAAGTGGGTCCCTAATGCTCCCTAGCACTTATATTTCATTCCCTTGGTCCACCACTCTCCTACTCTCATAGCAGATTCTGCTACCTTTTCCTCTGACCTCAAGTTGCCTTCAGCTCCTCTCATCATCACTCTTAGCTGATGACCTTTCTTTTCTATTCCACCAAGAACACAGAAGTAATTGGAAGGGAATTACTACATCTATGGACCTATATGGATTTGTGTTCACAAATTTTGCGTCTTCTCCTGTTTCCGAAGATGAACCATCTTTGCTCTTCATTCAGTCCATCTCAGTTGTCCTTAGATCTCATTCCCTCTTATTTAATTAGGGACTCTATTCTCTCTTTACCAGATTATCCCCATCACCATTATATATACCTTTCCCCCTTCCAACCACCTTAAAGCAAAAACCTTTTTTTGATCCTATTTATCCTTCAGCTTCCACTCACTTTTTTTCTTTTCTGTGCAGGAAAACTTCCCGAGGGTATAGTTTGCTCTTCCCAATTTCTCTCTTAGCTATAGTCTGAATTATGTCCCTCCCCAAATTCAGAGGCTGAAGTCCTAACCAGGAGGGTGACTGCATTTGGAGATAGGATCTTTAGGAGGTAATTAAGGTTAGGTGAGATTTTAAAAGTGGGGTCCTAATCTTATAGGATTGAGGATTGGTGTCCTTATAAGAAGAAAAAGCAGTCTTAATCTCTCTCTCTCTCTCCCTCTCCCTCTCTCTCTCTCTCTCTCTCTCTCTCTCTCTCTCTCTCTCTCTCTCTCTCTCTCTCTCTCTCTCCTTCTTTCTCAACACACACACACACACTCTGCACAAAGTGTGAGGATGCGGTAAGATGATGGTTGTCTATAAGCCAGCCAGAAGGAGGACTCTCACCAGGAACTGAATCTGTTGGCACCTTGATCTTGGACTTCCCACCTCCAGAACTGTGAGAATACATTTCTGTTTTCTGTGAGAATACATTTCTGTTGTTTAAGCTACACAGACTATGGTGTTTTTGTTAGAACAGCCTGAGCTTACTAAAATAGTCTCAAATCGCTAAAATCAGGCTTCCAGTCTCACTCATTTCACTCAAACTGCTCTTGGCAAGGTCCCCTGCGACCTCTCTGTTGCTAAATCCAGTGGTCAGCTATCAGCCCCTATCTTACTGCCCATCAGCAACACCAGACAGAGTTGAGAGCTACCTTCTACTTGAAACTTGTTATTTACTTGGCTCCCAGGGCAACATGTCTCCTGTGGCTCTGCTGCTCCTTTTCCCCGGGTTATCATTCTTCTCCCTGACCTCTGAGCAGGTGTTCGGTCATCTCAGTCAGCTTCAAGTTTTCTCACAAGACCTGTGTGCTGGGAACCCTCAGCCCCAGGCAAACCAGCAGAGCTGCTTGCTCTACCTCTGAGTGTTTAAGTGTTTACCCTTTCCCCCAAAGCTGTTCTCCATACAGCCTTTCCCATAGCAACAAATGACAACAGCCCTTTTCCAGTTGCTCAAGCCCCAAACCTTAGAGGTCTTCATTCCTCTTGTGCTCTTAAGCTACCTATTGGCCAAACTTTCAAAATATATCCAGAGTGGGTCATCTCTCACCACCTTCTCTGCTGCCACACTGGTCCAAGCTACCATTATTTCTCCCTTGGATGATTGCAATAGCTTTTGAAAACAAGCCTTCCATCAAACTTTCCCCCCATCAGTTATTCTCAACAAAATAACTGGGGTTGTTGTCAAAGCGAATAGTGGCCATAAAACTCACCAGCTCAGAATTCTTCACCAATTTCCATCTTGTAAAGGACAAAATCTAAAATCTACAAAAGGTTTACGAGGCCCAGGTGATGGGTCCACTCAGAGCCATCTGACCTCAATCTCCTAGGGCTCTCCCTGGCCTGCTCTCCTCCAGCCGAAAAGGCGCCTTGGTCCTGGGAACATCGGCAGGCCCTGTCTTAGGGCCTTTAATTTTGCTGTTGCCTCTGCTTACATGCATTTTCCCTGGGTAGTCCCTCTGCTCACTGCCATTAGTCCTTTTGGTATTAATTTAAACATCACTTTCTGAAAGAGGTCTTGCAGGGCTAACTACAATTACAGCTTCCTTTTATATTCACCCACTTCCTGTTACTATTTCCTACTGTATTTCTCCCTTAGCATTTATCTACTAGGTATTTACTTTTCTTACTAAATGTTTCCCCTGTTGGAATCTAAGCTTCACAGGGCAGACTCTTTTTGTCTCCTTTATTCACGCTCTGCCCCAAAGCCTACAACTGTGTCTGGCACAGGATAAGTGCTAATAAGTATCTGTTAAATGAATGAGTAAGTGAAGCCCATAAAGACGTGTAGACAAAATTCTACACCTCAGAAGCACAGGTGACTTCTCTCTGGCGTTAGGTGGGTGAATGTGACATGAGTTGTGAAGGAGTGGGCACTTTGTTTGAACCTGAGTGGCACTCGGTAATTTGACTTTTATCTCACCCCATAACCTGAGGATATTTCCGATATTTCCAGGCATTCTTACTGCTTCGGACCTTCCACTGACACTTAGAAAGGCCTTCTCTCCACCAGAAAATATCTATTATCCTATTCTCTTCCTGTCTGACTTTTAACCAGTGGCCATTAAAAAAGACCTGACGTCAGCATGGACTTCACTGACAAAGGATGATGCTGTAGCCCAGGCATTTCAAACAGCAGTATGAATAACACTTACCTGGAGAGTTTCTCTAACTGCAGATGCTTAGTCCCCTCTCCCACGAGTTTCGAAACAAGTTCATTTTGATCCAGAGATACAAGGACCACACCCTGAACAACACAAAGGAAAGAATTTGTAAGGCTGGCATCGCTGAAGGTCCACAGCGAACGTAATCTTGGTCAAGGTCCTCTTTGGTGTTCCTTAAATTGCTATAAATAATCATCTGTTTGTCTGTCTGCCTGTCCACCCTTCCATCCAGGCATTCAGCCATGTCTCAGTGTCTTAGGTTCTGTGCGGATGTGAATTTTCCTACAGGGTAGCAGTGCTGGAGGAGCTTTCTCCTTTCAAACCACCTCCTCTATTCTAATTATCATCTGCCCCTCCCCCAAAGCCAACCACAGCCTACAGGGCAGTCTCCCCTATTTGCTGCCATTCCTACCTTGTGTTTATAGCTAGTTGCTCCTCCTCCTCCACCTGTCAGCCAGGCTCTTGTTTCCATTCTCTCCTTCCCTGTTACCACTTCTCTCTCTCCCACCTCTGAACAAACAGCCTGTCCCCAGACACCTAATGGTAGCCAAACTACTGGGGTGAATTCCCAGCTCCCTTAGCTGTGCTTCCTGCCTCCAACACCCACTGCTCCTTATCTGGCTTTGGTTAATATCAGCCAAAATACATCGACTAACCAAATGAAGGAGAATGATGCATTAAAATATAGCAATGTTGATAATTATATTTAAGGAAAAAATACACAATAGAAAGGTGGATCCACCTTTGAACACAGCCTGTCACACATATCCATATGGGCAAACAAAGTCCAAAATAAGCAAAATACAACAACTAAAAACACTGACAAAATTCCACCTGGCTGGTAATACAATACAATGGTAGGTAAGCTAATAATTCAAAGACAATGACAGTTCCAATAGCGATTGATTGTGTTGCCACCAGATATAGGAGCCATGAGGTCCTGTGGAGGCAATAAAAGCTTGTGCTTGTTAAATTAGTTTACAGAGTCTCCGCGCTACTGGCAGCAGGAATATTTATTCTAGCTGTTCTCATGCCATGACTTATTTCCCTCATTTCTCGGCAAAAATCTCTTCTGCTGTGGAAAGGTTCCTTGCTCTGCCCGGGAGGCCTTGAGTGAGCCTGTGGACCCAGCAGTTTTCTCTAAAACCCTACATTCCTCATCCTTGAGCATGTCAGCTTGCCAGGCACAGGCTGGTCGCGGCCAGCAATCTCACTTGCTGCTCTAATGATCCTGAGAAGTCTATTTTCGTGTGTAGTAAGACCAGTGCCCACAGCCATCCAGCCTAACACAAGCACAAGTGCTTCAAGGAGAACAGAAATATCTGTTTGAAAAGCATATAAGTATACCTTCATCCTCAAATAAATGAATGCATTTTTGGCCCTAGGCATTGAAGCATTTAGCCAAGTGGCTCTAGGACAGAATTTAATATTGTATGTGTTTGTCCCGTCAAGAGGAAGGGTAATAAAATCCATAAGAGAGAGGGTTTTTCTTGCTCTGAGAATAACTTTACGTCTCACCATTAAAATATGTGAGATTCTGTGCCACAAATCTCACCCCTGGGGCCCATTGCTGCAGCACGTGCTACACACTCACATGCGTTGGCCAGGAGGCCTGACCTTGCAGGAGTTTGGGTACCTTCCCTTTGCCCTCCTAGCATGGTTTATCTTTTAAAAAATTAAAAATAATTTTGTCCAGTACATTTTTTCTAGATATTTGTGATCAGCTTTTTATAGGTATAGAAATAGCTAGACCAAACTATAACACAGGGGAATAAGAAAAAAAGTCAAACATGTACTGAATGCCTACTATCCACAAAGCACTGTGTGCATGTATTTGTATATTTATGGCTCAGGTAATTCTCACGATAACAGAATGCGTTGAGTATCCCAGTTTACAAGAACCCGTTGAGGAAATGTCTCAAAGCCATACAGTGGTGTGTCTGGCGAAAGTCTGTGCTCTTTCCACCTTCCCAGGCTACTTGTGTTTCATGCTTTTCTGCCCTTTCCTCTTGGCATCGTTTTTACCCCTGGCCAGGCACCTTGTGTGTTAGATGCTCAAGTTCCTTGCTGAATTCACTCAATCATTCACTCATTTATTCTGGCAGTCAGTCTGACACGCTTTCAAACTTTTATTGGCTGCCTTCTAAGTACTTTTCTGGGCACCGGGCATATAGCAATGAGCAAAACAGGAAAAAGCCTCTGCCTTCGCTGACATTTTACAAGGGAATTAAAATAAGTACACAGGCTTTCAAGATGAAGTGTGATACAAGCAATTTAGAGGAAAAGCAGAGACTCTGGCAGTCCAGGGGAGAGCAGGCAGTAGCCTACAGTGGGGAAGGAAAGGGGACGAGGAAAGGAAGACTACTTCTTGGAAGAGGTGACCTGAGGGGAATCCAGTGGCTCTGTAGGAATTGCCCCCACCCCCTTAGAATAGAGGAAGCTCATTTTCACTCAGTGAATGCCCATCCCCATGGCAAGTAGAGCAGAGTGGCAGGAACAGGAGGGTTGATAAATCAGATGAGGCTGTTAAAGTGAGTAGAGGCCAGACCCCAAAGGGACTTGAGTCTTGTTTAGATAAACTAAGGAGTTTAGCACTTACCCTACAGGAGATGAAGAGCTGAGTGGTTGTGCTGATTGATGGGTTAGAACAAAGCCCCCAAAGAGGCTGGTGAAAGGTAAAACACAGGCACATGGATAAATGCTGTTTCTGCTTCCTTGGGGAGGAACTCTTTTTTAAACCTTAAGACAATAATGTAAAACTATGATTAAAATCTTTAGTTCTCGTGGCAAACTCTATTGAATTTTTCTTTTTGTGTCTAAAATTGCATCATATAAACCATTTGAACTATTTGGAAGCTTGAGCCTCTGATCCCACATTATTGTTAAGCATTTTGTTAACGGAACTCTCAGCATGGTGATTGCGTATTTGTAACATGAAAAATTATCCATCTAAAGTGATAAACTTCTCTGTCCAAAACAAAATAAAGACACATGAAAATAAACCCTGAAAAATTATTTTGTATAAATTGGGATATTCTGTAATTACTATTATGTTTAAAATGTTATATTAAATTTCATTTATAAATATAGACATGTAATTTTACATAAATGCATAATATGATATATTGTAGAAATATCATAAAGGATTAATAACTGAACATATAAATATATAACAAAGCATATAGGCAGAAACACTTTAAATCACCCCCTTTGAAATTATCACTGAAATAATCATTGTGAATATTTTAATGTGTTTTTAGCATTTTTTTGTTATGAACATATACATATATATGTATACATGAAATCACATATATATACATCCTTACCTTTTTATTTAAACTTAATGATATGCTACATTTTGACATTTCACCTATTATTATATATATTTTTTAAAATAGGATTTTAATGATTGTAAAATGTACATTCTATGGCTACCATAATATTATTAAACTGCTTTTTAATTTTTGGACATTTAGATTGTGGCCAAACATTTTGGCAGTGGAAATAATCTATAATAATAAAAGCATGATATGCTAATTAGACCAGACATCCTTCTGGAAGCCAGGGCTGTGAGGGAAACCTGGGTTTCAGGTGCCAGAGGGAAGCCTGGGTTCTGGGTGCCAGAGGGAAGCCAATGGAAGGAAGACCTATTCTTGCATGAATTTCATGCATCGGGCCTCTTGTATAATAAATATAATAAAGAGTTAATGTGCTAATTAGATTGAACAGCAGAATGACCATCTGAACAGCTTTCCAGACGACCTTCTGGATGAAGCCAAGGCTGTGAGGGCTGAGACATCTGGAGCTGTGAGGGCCGAGCCCTTTACACGAATTTCATGCATCGGGCCTCTGCTGATGTAATAATACTGTACACAACGTTTTATATATATTTGTACACAAAAATTTTTATATATCTCTGTTTTCTAAGAAAATAATGGATCAAAGAGTAGAAATATTTGTAAGCATCTTGATATGCACTGTTAAGTTGTCTTAAAAATTATTGTATTTTTGCAAAGCAAAATAAGAAAAGTCAATGTAGAAAGAGACATAAAATATTTATGCAAAAATTGCACATATTGAAATATGTTCTAGGGAAATATCCCAAAATACAGAAGAAGACAAACAAACATGTTTATCATAGTGCTAAAATAACCAAAAAATGATTATTTGTCTTAATTGTTCAACAATAGGGAAATGCGAGTATTATTTTGTATGACTTAATTGTTACAAATATTAACAATGATGTTTATTAATTACTAGAGGCCCAGTGCCATGCACCAGTGGGATCCCTGGGCCTGGCCTGCACTCTCTTGAAATTGAGGACCCCTTGGGAGATGTTGGAGAGCCCGTTTCAGCCCAGTCCCCACAGGCCAGGCTGAGGGACCCCACTGGCATATGATTAGGGCTGGAGAGGGACAATGGGAAGGCTCCAGGGCATATCTGGCCCATCTCGCCCAGTCCAATTTGGACCCCAGCAGCAAGCTAATCTACTGGTCAGAGCATCTTCCCCCTGGTGGTCAGTGCATGTAATAGTGACTGGTCAAACGGTCGAACAAATGGTCAGACATTAGCATATTAGGCTTGTATTATATAGGATTATTTATCCTAATTAAAATATTAGAGACTCAGTAACTTCTGGAAACTTCTCCATTTTAGACTTACAAGTTTTATGAAACAATGCAATTCCTTTATTTTACAGGTCAGTTGGAATAGGATTGTCTGTCACTTGCAATAAAAATATCCTAATTGATATAATAAAAAGTGTATTATTACCTTATCTGTAGATCATACTGTTTAGATCTTAGTTGTACAAATAAGTAAGCGGCATATTTATTTTTAAAAGCTTTGAGTAAGCAAGTCAAGGTATAAAATAGCCCACTGATTTTATTTGTGATATAGGCATTGAGTCACTTGATGTGGACTAGTTTTTGTTTTAAATATCTTTTATGAATGGTTAGTTGTACATTAGAAAATATTAAAAAAATTACCTCATCTTAGGAATACTTTTAGGTCTCAATTCCAAATTTAATTTTATAAATTCACAGATCTTTTTTCATATACTGATAAAGTATGATAAATATAGTCTTGGATAAACTTCAATTAACTTCTCTCTCTGCAGTAGAAAATTCATTTCAGAATTACTCATAGTTACTCATGGACTTGTGGTGTTTAAGAGATGTGGAATAATTTCCCCAAAGTGCAAACTTGATTATTTTTCATGTATCTTTTATAATGATTCAGGTTTTTAAAGCTTCTGGAATGAAAATGTCCCTAATAACAAAAGTGTGATTAGGCTGAGAACATATGTAAAACCTTGCCATTTCAAGTACAACTTAATTACAGACCATTTGAACATTAGAAAGCTTACTAGTAAATTTTCACCTCCAAACAGGAAGCAGTCCTGGGTATTTGATCCATTTCCCCTACAGCAACTTTCATTAACCTTTAAGATTCGCTTTCTCATTTACTGAATATCTGTGGCTTGTCCTATTGGAATCATACTTTTGTATATGTTTCTCTTTTAGGGACTTGCTGTAAGAGAGAAAGAACTGGGTAGAGAGAAATTGACATATGCATTCAATGTTTTCCATTCAGTATTCTCCATTCAGTATGCACCTGTCCATAGAACATATGTATTTCTCTCTGTATACATGAGGAAGCAGTGAGTCAGCCAGGCAGTTCTGGGAGGAACTGTACCAGAACAGGAGAGTTCATCAGCCCCATTGGTCACAAATGACAACTAGAAAGAAAGAGCATCAGCTTTACTGCAAGGAGATGGAAGTGCTAGCTGACCCCAAGGGATCTCTTAGAGCACAGACTCTATGTGTAGAGCTCCAGGGAGAGTCTCTAGCTGACTCTCCTAATTATTGGGTAGGCAACTAAGTAATTGCGGATTTTTTAAAAAATCAAAGACAATTTTTTTCATGGAACTAAATAATTTTATTCTGTAATGTATTGCCCATTTTGATCAATGACCTTTTGCCATCTTTCAGGCAGCATCATAATCCCACGTTCAAAAAACTTCTGGTTTTTATTAGCAAAAAACTGAATCAGGTACGATTTGACATCATCATCATTATTGAAATTTTTACCATTCAAGGAGTTTTGTAAAGATCGAAACAAAAAGTAATCAGATGGTGCAAGGTCAGGACTATATGGTGGATGTGGCAAAACATCCCAACCAAGCTCCATTAATTTTTGCCGAGTGACCAAAGATGTGTGTGGCCTTGCATTGTCATGATGGAATAGAACACCTTTTCGATTTGTCAATTCGGGCCGCTTTTCTTCAACTGCATTGTTTAATTTCGTTAGTTGTTCAATGTAGACATCAGAATTGATCGTTCGGTTGGGTGGTAAGAGTTCAAAGTAGACAATTCCTTTGTAATCCCACCAAACTGATAACAAAACCTTCTTTTGATGAATATCAGCTTTTGATGTTGTTTGAGTTGGTTCACCTGGCCTGCTCCATGATCTTTTTCGCTTGATATTGTTGTAAACAACCCATTTTTCATCGCCAGTTATCAGTCGTTTTAAAAATGGATCATTTTCATTACGTTTCTTTAGCAAATCGCAGCTGCTAATGCGTTGCATTAACTGTGATTCTTTCAGTTCGTGAGGAACCCATGTATCGAGTTTTCGAACATAGCCAAGTTGTTTTAAGTGATTTTCAATGCATGTATGTGATACATGAAGCTTCTCTGCAATCTCACGCGTTGTACTGTGACAGTCCGAATTGATTATTGCTTTGATTAGGGCGTCATCAATTTCAACTGGACGACCAGAGCGTTTTTCATCTTTGAGTGAAAAATCACCAGAACGAAATTTGGCAAACCAATTTTGACACTGCCGTTCTTTTAAGGCTTCGTCACCATAAACAGCACATAACTTTTTATGAGCTTGCGAAGCGTTTTTCCCTTTGCGGAAATAAAAAAGCAAAATATGACGAAAATGTTCCTTTTGATTTTCCATTTTTCAACGAACGCCAAACAAAAACTACAAAACAGATCAACAAACTTTTTTTACTGATTAACAGCTGAATAGCCAACTATCAGATAACAAAATGTGTTTTACATTTGTACTACGTCTGCAAACCTAAAAATTCAACTGAAGCCATATATGTGTGAAATCAGCAATTACTTAGTTGCCGACCCAATAGAATGACAAGTTTATGACATGATAAAGAAAACAAACTAAGGTGAGACATTCTGAGACCTCTGGTGCAGAGAGAAGCTGGCTGTTGGTTCAACTTCTCTCTTTCTCCTGACAGGAAGCAGAGCTCATTTCATAGCTCCTGTTGAAAGAAGCCACCACTATTGAAACATAGACATGATGAGACAATGAAATTAAGAGGGGAAAAATTCCACTGATTTTAGCCAAGACGTGTGTGTGCATGGAAAAGACACCTGGAGGAAATATATAAGGAGATAAAGCGGTGCCATGGAGCATGTGAGAAGCGGCTACCTGTCCTTTTAGAGAATAAAACAATTACATTCTTTCACTAAGAAAAGGCTTTGCAACACATGGGGGGAGCGCCTGGTGATGCAAATCCAGGCAGGATACACAGCTCAGGGTAAAGGAATCTGGAGACTCACTAGTAAGAAGTGGTGCAGGGAATGGTGGGATGGGGTAACGGGGAGTGAAGCAGGACATAGAAGAAAAGCCAATTTACCTTTGAAGCTGTCTTTGTGGCTTAAACTTCTTCACTAGGACATTTAATAGTTTTTTTGTGGTCAAATATGGTTAGGAAACAGCATTTCCCTTAGCTTCCTCCTCAGCATGCCCTTTAACATTTCAAACTGCTTAACTTTATTTTCAAAAGTTACATAACCACCTAGTTTTAGTTTATTTTAAATTGAGAGTTATTATTACCCCAGGGAAATAGTGAACCATAGAACATACTTTCAGAAATACTGCCTTAGAGAATTTGTTTCTGAGAATAATCTCAGCAAAAAGCTCAGAAAGGAATTTTCTGGAAATTCTCTTAGGGATCAATGGCATCTTCATTGGTGGACTTCCACCATGGGACCCTCTCCCCAACCAGAGGTATAGGACCAGCATCAATACCAGCTGCTGGGGAGCTTGTCCCTCTGCTAAGACTCGGGTTGGACACCAGAACACCTGTCTGGACTTTCAGAAGGGAAGGCTTGGTGCTCTGCATGATTGAGTCTTTGTGCATCTTCTCTCTTTGAACAGACATTCAAAATCCAAAGTCTAAAAGCACACCAGTCTTTCAGAAATGCTGCAAACAAGAAAAGAGTGAGAAAGGCAAATATAAAAATTGAAGATCAGTATAGTATTTAAAATTAAAAACATTATTACTTAAAACAGGTGTAAAAATTCCTTCTAAAATTTGGATGGAATTAAAAACATGATGTTGGGTAAGGGCCCAGGAGGAAAAGGTTGCTGTTTACTTGGGAAAATGGCTGAACTAGTAAAATACAAATGTAGTTCCTACACAAAACACCATTTTTATAATTGCCAAACTGTTGAAAGGGAAAAACATAGGAAAATTACTTTTATAAATATTTTATAACTAGAGAAAACTTTAGCCGAGTAGCCTAGACATAGTCTTTTAGGCTAGGAGCAATATACTCTTATTTTCTTATGATATAAGTGTATTATCCATCATTATTTGAGAACACCTTTTTTGTACTGAGTTTAAAAAAAAAAAAAAAAAAAAAGAGCCGAAACCGGTTTGGCTCAGTGGTAGAGCATTGGCTTTCGAACTGAAAGGTCCTAGATTCAATTCAGGTCAAGGACATGTACCTTGGTTGTGGGCACATCCCCAGTAGGGGTTGTGTAGGAGGCAGCTGATCAATGTTTCTCATCGATGTTTCTAACTCTCTATTCCTATCCCTTCTTCTATGTAAAAACTCAATAAAGTATATTAAAAAAAAAGAGGAGGCTTTACTCAAGATGAAAGTTATCAATAGGTATTAATTAAAAATAGTTAGGAGAAAAAATGTGTACTGTTTTTCAAAAATTCTGAAGACTTGTCTTGATTGAATTGAAACACTGAAGAGGTTATCACTTGACTCAAGTATTCTGGAAAAATTACCCTTAGTTTTTACCTAAGGGTAATGAGACTGGCTGGGGGTGGAGGGTATTGGGAACCCTATGTGCTCTCTATGGGTTGTCACACTCAAACACAGGACACACCCAGGAAAACTGTGAATGGTTAGTTGTTCTTGGGGATTTCCTCCTCTCTGTCTTGGTATCTCCTAGTGGCCCAGTCTTTCAGTCCTCTAGTTGCCAAGGGTTCCATCTTTAGTACTGCATGCTGGCCTGCTTATATAATGCACCTTTCCTGAATTAAGATTCAATAAGTTGAATAAGTTGAAACTTCACATTTTACACTATTTCCTATTTACAAGAGAAAAACATTGGAAAAAAAACACACCAATATGAAACAGTAGGAAGAGTTTAAAAATAGATTCTGGTGAAACACAAATGAATCATTGAAATGGTGATTTTGTTTACTGAAGAAATGTTAAGTGAAAAAAGACATAAATTATATATTTCATATAATTCATATGTAAAAATTCTTTATATACATTCTCTCCACACACATGTATATTCTACATGAGTACTCTATATACACATTTACACATACATGCATACTTTGGTACAATGGCTCTCTAACTTGAGCCGGCATTAGAATCACCTGGAGCCTTATTAGACCACTGGGCCCAGCCCACAAGTTTCTGACTCGGGGCTGGGATGGGGCTGGAGAAATTGTTTTCTAACAAGTTCCAGCTAATGCTGGTGGTCTGGAAGAAGCCAACCTAAAGAAAATATCCTGGTTAGGGGAAGGAATTTCTAAAACGTGTGTCGTGTGTCTCTCCCCCCCCACCCCCACCTTTTCCCAAATTATTAGGTAAGTTACTTCAGGATATCTTCAAAACCCCTTTAAAAAAATTAAAAATCAGTTTATTTGAAATATTATTCCTCCCACCGCTCTAAGTAGGACAAATGAAGAGATCAATGAGAGGTCTGTGTCTGAGGGTGGAACAGGGACCACAAAGGGTATTGCTTCAGTTGTCTCTTGCCTGTAGCAAACACCCAGTCTTTGATGAATTAGAAAGCAAGTGAGATGACTTTGTGTGTGTGTGTGTGTGTGTGTGTGTGTGTGTGTGTGTGTGTAGCACATTTAACCTGAATACCAGGATGGTTTCAGGATGTCACAGTTACTTGATTGGTACTGGCTAAAGCCCTCACAGATATTTCCTCTTCTTATTACTCAATTTAGGAAATCAATGTCAGCCTGTAGGTGTGAACATGAGTTGGCAAACCCAGACAGGAATGCTGATGAGGCAGCCTCTTCTGCCTGAGGGACTCGTTCCCATTCCAGAAATGACTCATGTGTTGCCACTTCCCATGCCTTTTGCACACACCACTCTGTCTGCCTGAAGTGCCTTGGACTAAGCCGCTTTCTTTTGTTCTTGTTCCAAGAGCCCCCTCTGAGTGACTTTCACTTACCTGTCTTACTGTCATTTTTCAATGGTGTGCTGTTTCTTCCAGGGAACTGGAAATACCTTGAATGTTCAGTTGGTCTTGGCTTCAGCGGTGTATCTCCAAAACCTATTAGAGTATCTGGTATTTGTTTTCTGTTCAAAGTACAGTCATGGATATTCAAAGACAAAATTTCACCTTTAATATACGTAAAAGGATCCAACAAACAAGACCATGACTCAAAAGTAAGCAAGTCAAGTGTGAAAGATCAAAATCTTTGTACTTCCTTCTTGTTGAACTAACAGACCTACAAGCCCTCTTTATTTCCACACATTCTCAGCCCTCAGTTTCCCACTGTCTCTGTCTGCTCCAGGATCTGCCCGTGCTCTGTGGAACTTTCAGGAAACACCCCGGGTTTCTCACCTGACTGCTCCGTGCAATCTCTGAAAGGGGATTCATTGTCATTTTGTTCTCTTTAGAGACAAACAGAGCCCCACATTTTCACAGATAAATAAAATTGTGGGTAAAGTATTTGATGCTTAAAGGAGATGTCTGATACTACGTTAGATTTTATTCTTGCTTTTAAAAGAAAGAATGAGTATTTCCATGTTTCTATGTAGCTATCTGTTCTTCCATTTGTATGTTATGTATAGAAAAGTATTTGAAATGATGTTTACCTCTTGTTAGTCACAAATATTTAGATAGTTGGATTTAAAAGACTTTTTAAACACCATTCTTTTTTTAAAAAAATATTTTATTGATTTTTCACAGAGAGGAATGGAGAGGGATAGAGAGTTAGAAACATCAATGAGAGAGAGACATCGATCAGCTGCCTCCTGCACATCCCCCACTGGGGATGTGCCTGCAACCAAGGTGTATGCCCTTGACCGAAATCAAACCCAGGACCCTTCAGTCCGCAGGCCAACGCTCTATCCAATGAGCCAAACTGGCTTTGGCTAAACACCATTCTTTATCCTGATTAGTATTGATTCTTATGTATTATTTTTATAATTTCTATTCCAAAATAATGAAAGAGCGTAGTGCCCCTGCAAGTGTTTAGAAGATCACATGCCTCATCGAATGTCAATATGGATTTTTCTGTCCTGTTACTCAGATATCCAAACATAGAAATGCATAGATGCAAATTACCAAACCACAAGGCAGAAAAGTGACTTGTATTTATTTATAGCAGTTTGACTCTGGAATTCCTGCAGAGCTGACCTGTGCGCCCTCTCAGTCTGCAGTACATGGAGCCTTTGTGGGGAGGAAGTCTGACACTTACAGGTGGATCAAGAAGGGAATTATTTCAGTCAGTCAAGGTGGTTCTGTCTTTAGAATGATTCCGAAGCAATGCTGTTTGTCAAACTTTCCCCCCAAAAGGCATGTGACCTCATGGATGAGAAATAGAGCACAAGGTGGTCAGGACCTGAGTTCTCTAGGTAAGACATGGTAAAGAGTGGTGGCTCTAAATGTGCTTGGTAAAGAACCTCTGACATTGTTATCTGCATGACTTTACGGGGTTTTGATGCTGCTCAGAGAACAAGATGAGTTGTGAGATAGAGCATCCTATAGGAATTTCCAAGTGAATATCCAAAAATTATAAGTTTATTTTATATAAACCAAGTTATAACTGAATTTGGTAGATTTTCAGTTCCAACTAGAAGTTGTTTATAGAGAACCAGGAAAGAATGGCAGTCTGCTGACATGATATTTGAGAAGATAAGACTTAAATCAGCCATTACCTTGTGACAAATAGTTTCAGAACAGTTACTACAAGTTAAATATAAACTTACTCTATATCTTGTCATTATAAAATTGATTATTTGTCTCTGTTTGCTGTGAAAGGCATTCAGCTTTCTTAAAATATAGGAGATGTCAATTAACTTCCTTAAAATATATGAGATGTCAATATGAGTAGTTTCAATAATTGTTTTATAAGTTCCAAATGTGACTATTGTACATATAGAAACCCAATTTATTAGAATGCTGCAAAAACAAAACAAACACAAAAAAACCTGTGTCTTTCCACTTAAAACTGTCAACTAAGTTTTTCATGAAAGGTTGATTTACTATAGGACTGTTAATGATAATTAACCAATGGTAGCATTAATCTAGCTCACATTAATTCAATTAGCAAAGAAAGAGTGTAGATTTTCTTAAAATCAGTCACAATGGAAGATATAGTAACTCTTCTTTGTTTACAACTACAATCAATTAACTTTGACACACTATGAGAATCTCGATTTCTTTTGTATAGCATATACTATACTTAATAGGGGTGTCGAACTCAATCAGAGAAGGGGCCAAAATCTAAAATCCAGCCTAAATCGCGGGCCGAATGGTTTACTGAACAGTCATAAACTGTCATTGTGATGGAAATGCAGCGGAGTGCAGTGATGACAGCGCGGTGCGGGCCACATTGCAAGGCCTGGCGGGACGGATTTGGCCCGCGGGCCTTGTGTTTGACACATGTGCATAATTCTGATCATATAGTGCCATATAGTAACTTTTAACCCTGTTGAGTCGACAATACTCAATAGTAACAGATCTGACCCTGAAAGCCATTTTGGTTTCATTACTTGTCTATGATTCAGAACTCTTTTTTGTTATAATTGTATAGATCAGTGTCCGCAAACTCATTAGTCAATAGAGCGGCAAACCGCAGCTCACGAGCCACAGTTTGCTGACCACTGGTATAGATAATTCCACTCAAAATGACTCAAGCAAGAGAGCTTACTAGCTCCCAGCACTGTAAAGTCTAGGCAACATGCTAGGCAAGAACCAGTGGTCATAGGATGGTGTTAGGATTGACTCTCTCCATCCTGGTTCTACTTCCTCTGGGTTGGCTTCATTCTCAGGCAGCTCCTCCCATCAGTGGTCAGATGGCCACTCAGAGATCTAGATGTTCATCTTATCAGTTCAGCAATCTCAGTAGAAAGAGAGCTTCTACCCCAACAGTTCCAGTGAAAGTTCTGGATCTGAAGGTTATTGGTTCTGATTGGCTGTTTGGTTCAGCCCAACCCTGCCACAGGATTGAATTGTCATTGCTTTGCTCTCAAGAAGCAAGTTGTGTATTTTCTGCTACATGAATGATTATAAACAACAGCTTGGGAAGGCACTCTAAGGCCAGTAATTATATGGATGAAACAGAAAGACTGTATTCCAAGTGAGGTTAATTTTAGCAGAAGTCAGATAAAAATGTTGTCAACAGCAAATGTGCTGGCAATAGAGCCAAAATTCCTGTCGCCAGAGACTGGTTGATTGGACTAGTGGTTCCCAGTGTGGTCACAGAAAGCCAGACTGGACCTCCTGGCCATCCCAAAGATACTTTAAAGTCTGAAGTTAATGTATGGGGCTTAGTACATAATAATCTGAGACATCACAAGTAGAAAGTAATCCTGAATTAGACATTAACTTTATAAATTAAAGGTGTGTGTGTGTGTGTGTGTGTGTGTGTTTGAGTGTTTAGGGGAGAGGAGGGCTCAGGGACCTATGCTGATAACTGTCCCAAACTTTGATTTATTTTCCCATGGAGTAAGCTATTCTGTGAAGAAAATCTCTAAATAGAAGGGGAAAATGTTGATTCTTACTATTAAAGCAATTTAGATGCTTTTTAAAAAAATCCATGTTAAAATTTTGTTCAGGGTTCTGTTTTCTACAAAGGATATAGTATTTTTAGAAAATCACTTAGAAAATCTCCTTGTAGATAGTATCTCAACTCAGTTTACTGAAATGAATGTTACTGGATAATTAAACTAATGAGTCATTCTGGGAAAAGAAATTAAGGCTAAAAATGCAAAGATAATTGGAAAAGAATTCTGCTACTGAAGAAAACTTTGGCTTAAAGAGGAAAGGTGCAGCTACATTCTCATTGCAGAGATGCCACATGTAGCTTTTTTTCTTTTTTTCCTTACGAAGAAAAGCAGAAATTCTGATCACAAAATGTGTGAGTACAAAATAAGGTTTTCCCTATGAATCAGTTAAACCAGGATAATATAATAGCTTGGCATCTGATTTATAAATTAGAGATAAGTTGACAGATGAACAATTTCATTAGTAAGCAAAAAAAATTAAAATAAAAGTAAATTAGATGAAAGAAAATGAATTGACCTGTGATGGTAATGAGATGAGTCTGCTTCAGTCTCCATCATGGTCAGGCAAGATGGCCCTTCACTTCACACAGAAAGATTTTCACTGTGTGTTAGACAAACAACAGTGCTAGAAAGATATTAAATTTCTCAACATCCACATACCAACTTTAGAAATTCCCCTAATTGTGTCCGATTGAGCTATATTCTCATGCTTGAAAAATCTCTGTGGTCAGCGGAATTAGTACTCAGATTGACTGACGGTAATGGACTGAATATCTGCCACCTGTGACTATGCTACCATACAATGTAAAAGGGACTTTGCAGGTATGATTGAGGTATTTTTTATCCTTACCTGAGGATATGTTTATTGATTTTAGAGAAGAAGGGAAAGAGAAACACCATTGTGAGAGAGAAGCATCCCATCAGTTGCTTCCCATATGTGCCCTATCAGGGATCGAACCTGCAGCCTAGGCATGTGCCCTGACTAGGAAGTGAACCCACAATCTTTTGGTGCACAGGATGATGCTCCAACCAACTGAGCCACCTGACCAAGGAAAGTGAAGGATTTTGAAAGGGAGATTATCCTGGCTTATTTTGGCAAGCCCAGTGTAGTCACAAGTGTTTTTATAACAGAGAGGCCAGTGATTTAGAGTTAGGGTCCAAGATGAATAATTAACTTATATTTAGAGTAAAGCCAAGAAAGGAGTCTCTCTCCCACTTTTAAATTGCCCACAATTATTTTTTAAATTCAGTGATTGTAAATGATATCAGTGATTCCTGCCACATTAAAGCACCATCTTTTGTCCCATTAATTTTTTAACTTTACATAAAGGAAAGGCAATTATAAAAATTGATACATACATATTAAAATTAAAAAGTTTGTCACCTAAAATCATTTCAGGTACTACCATATTTTTCAGATTTAAAACGTTTGCATACTCTTAGTTCATAGAATGAATAGCTTTAATTAACTTTTACCCTAACTATGCTGGTAATCTAAAAGCATAGACATCACACTTTAGCTTCTAATAAAGGCAGAGTGGTAAAATTTCCATTAAGAACAACAAAAAGGTTTGAACAAAATATGAAAATAATCTTTTGAAAGCATCAGAGAGCTACCAATGCTGCAAAGAATTATGAGACTAAGATCTAGGGTAGGTAAACTCAGAGAGTTGAGCTTGGAATTTTGGGCTGCTTTTCCAAAATTACCTGCAAAATCCAGAAATGTTGGTTGAGAACCTGAAAAGCTGAACAGATATTTCAACAGACTCATGTAGCTGGGAGAAAAATGAAAGGAAGAAAGTCTCTGATAAACCTGTATGCACTGAATTGGCACTTCACAGATCCACCCACTACGCAAGTAAGGGTGTGTACAAATTAGGCCAGTGCTCTCAGGTGCTGAAGCCCAGGTTCAAATAATTCTAACCCTTTATTGTTTTAAGCAAATCCTTCCTGGTGCTAACCAGAAGTAAAGGTAAATTCTTTAATATCTTGCATCCAATAAAAAAGATATAAAAGGAAACTAGAGAATTTGATTAAAAACTACAAAGTAAAATAGACACTCACTGGATTTAAATAATTCAAAACCATATAATTTTATTAAGGAAATAAAACCCAATATTAAGAACTTTTGTAAAGACCTAAAAATAAAATGAAAAGAGAAATACAATGACCTCACTTATATATGGAATCTAATGAACAAAATAAATTGAACAAAATAGAAACAGAGGCATGGATACAAGGAACAGACTGTCAGCTGTCAGAGGAGAGGTGGGAGGGGGACTGGGTAAAAGAAGGTGAAGGTATTAGCCAAAGAACATATATTCATAACCCATACACACAGACCACAGTGTGGAGATGTCCAGAGAGAAAGGGGCAGTGGGAAGGGTGGAGGAGGGCAAAGGGTGGGAATGGGGATATCTGTAAAAGTGTCAATAATAAAACTAAAGTTAAAAAAATTAATGGCTCCAAGGTTGGACTTTACATAAGAGCAGATACCACTGAAGGGAGAATTAATGAACAGTGATAGAAGAAAATATCTGGAATGAAGTACAAAGGAACAAAAGGTTGGAAATACTGAAGATAGTGAAAGACCCAGAGAAGATACAGAGAAGGATAGTATATGTTCCACAGAAGTTCCAGAAGAAGAAGAAAAAGAGTGGAGCAGAAAAAATATTTGAAGAGGTAATGCCTGAAAAATTTTCCAAAACTGTTGAAAGATATCAAGCCATACTTTCGAGAAGCATTACACCCCAAACAAGTTAAATACAAAGAAAATCACACCTAAAAAACTCATGATAAACTGCTGAATAATAAATGATGACAATATAGACTGGGATGTGTTCTTTATACAAGAAAAATACGAAAGTTTTGGTGAATTGGAAATCATAAAAGCAATGAAATGATTCTAGAAAGCAAGCTACAGCTGGGAAACAAGAGGCAGTTTCTCAGATGAGAGAATACCACTCCACTGACTGATCATAAGCACTGACTACTTTTTTACGCACTGAAATTTCAATATTACAAGTAGCTTCAAGCTGAAAGCAGAGGAACATAAATTAACCCATCCACGCAACATGTGTTTAAGTGTCTACATATGCCAGACACATTTCTAGGTATTAGGGATCCATGGTCAAGGCTACACATAGCCTCTGCCCTTATGATCTTGCAGTCTAAAAAGTTGTTGAACTGGGGGAATAGACCCCGCCAAAAATAGCCTAATTAATTCATTAGTATTTAAAATTGTGATAAATGCTATAAAGAAAATAAAAAGGAACTGAAAGAGAATAGCTAGACATGATGACTTCAATGATGATGAGCTGGCCATGTGAAGAGCAGAAGAAAAAGCAGGGCCAGCTGTTGGGGTGTAAGCCCTGTGCATTTGCTCAGGGCTCTGAGCCTGAACAAAGAAAGGGTCCTGAGCCTGGCATGAAGCTCTGCTGTCTCCATCTTTAAGTTCTTGATAAGGTTTGAAGAAAAATGCATTTTAAGTTTGCACTGAATCTGGCAAAGACCATGCTGGTTCTGGGGCAAAGCATTCCAATGAGAAAAAAGACACACAGTATGTTTCCAGCCTTGAGGCAGGGAGGAACAGGTTGTGTGAGAAGAACTGAAAGAAGGCCAGGAAGGCTGAGTAAGGAGCCAAGTGGCAAGACGTGAGGGCAGAGGAAGGCAGAAGCTCTGGCAGCTGTGGGAGTGGATGCTGTCACCGCCATGTACTCAAGTGTTTCTCGTGGCACAGGGGTGACTCCTTTAAGAAGTTCTTAGATGGAGGGCTTTCCAGATAATCCATCACTGAAATGGAGCTAAAGCCTTGGGTTATGGGCCAAGAAGAGATCACAAGTGGTATATACTGGGTTACATTTTATGAGTCCAGGCTAGATTGTTGGAAATAGGAAATTAAATCCAGTATCCTAGTGTGATTAGAGTGAAACACACACACACACACACACAAAAAAAAAACAAAAACAAAAGCAAAACAAACAAAAACAAACCCAAATGATAGTGCAGGTCTTTCAAGGGAATTAGAGAGATACTAAATTCTATTGGACTTGAATTGAAAGTCTGAAACTTTATGCTAATCTGAGTAAAGAAAAAGCACATTTAATTATACCAAGAATTGGCAAGTTATCAATGAAGAAAGGCAACAGATTTCAGGGGAGAAAACAATTATATGGCCTCAATAATACTAAGTATTGGATATCTTTAACTTGAATCTTTTCTTACAGTTGGAATGATACTAATAGTATGCAAAAATATTATGATAGATGGAGAAATTGCGTTTTTAACTATCCTAAATGTATCTCATTTGCTTCTATGCTCCTAAGAATAAACAAAGCTCACATTTTACATTAATAAGCCTGCTTAAGCCCAAGAATTTGGCATCTATATCTATCTTGGTATGGATAAGAACACATTTTATTTTATATATATTGCCTGCTTGAGTATTATTCATTTGCCCCTCATCTTCAAAGTGCTTCATTGCAAACTAAAATTCTTCTCCCACACTTTGTTTTAAACCATACTGAAAAGCCAGGCAGAGTCTTCATTGAAGGTCTTCTGCACATCATGGCGTCAACTGTGAGGAATCCCAGGTGGTACTGTGATCTGCTCTCAGCTTCTCCGGGTCAGGTTGCCCCAGTCACAAACAGGACTTCAGAACTGGAAGGGCACTGGGAACTGTGGTGGGGAGCTGCTGTTTTGGCCCTAGGGGGCTCATTCTTCTTTCTTTGGTAACAGAACACACTCATTTTCTTTGAGGAATAAGCCCTGGACACGTCCCAGGCCTGGCCACTCTGCACCTCCTGTCCTGCTGGCTACGGTGTTTGGTTGGGATGAGCACTCACTGACCCTGAGACTTCTCAAGGAGCTATGCTCATGCTAGCCTGGAGACTGGAAGCTGCCATGTACGCAGAGCCTACTGAAAATGAAACAACACAGAGAAAGAGGGAGGCTGTCTCCTGGCAACTTGACTTGAGCTGGTGAATTCAGCCTGTCACTTGAGTTCTGACTGAATGAAGAGTCACGTGTCCCAGAGGTTCAATGTTGGTTCATGGACCAATGACTGTCTGCAATGAAGTTATCACTCATTCGTGGTGAAATAAGAAAAATCAGGTTCAAGGCAATGAGTTTTTCAGAGAACTAGCTTTTCAATCTGAAAGACTGCTCCTGTTTCTAGAGATTGGATGCTTCTTACAATTTTTATTTTAAAAATGTCCTTTCTTTGTGATAGCAGATGGTATCTTTTTAAATGTCCTCACTTGGTATATATGTTATGTTATGGTAAATAATGACAACTTCTGTAATTCTTAAATATCAGTGGGTTAACTCAATAACTTCCTTGTTTTCCTCAAGTGAAATCTGAATACAGGGAGTATTACTAATTCACTCAGAGAACCTGCCTCCTTCCACCTTGTGGCTCTGCCCTCACCTAGGTCCCCAAAGTCTTCTCCATCCAGCCAGCAAGCATAGAAAGAGAAGGAAGACTTAAGGAGGGAGCATTTTATTGGTCATGGCTGGAAGTGGAGAACATCACTTCTATTCCCATTTCATTGGCCAGAATTCACCATGTGGCCAAACTTAATAGCAAATGAGACTGAGACATACAGGTTAGCTGTGTGCTCAGGACGAAGGAGAAGCAGGATTAGTGACACATTACAGTACCCAATCCCTGCCATATTTGGCAAAATTAACCTTTAGGCCTTTTGTTATATCTTCTTTTGTTCTTTGAAAATTTAGTACTGCATCAGATCCACAAAAATTTGGTAACCACTGACCTAGTTCATTTTTTTCATTTAATAAATTACTACTGATGGCTTTCCCTCCAAGAAAAATTTTACTTTTAAAATTGAAATAAATTTACTACCCTGAGTCTTCAAATAGCTGAACCCCCTCAGGGTCCCATATCTTCAGTCTGGATGAAGCCCCCACCTATTCCTCCCAGGCAGAGTACAATGGGGGTACTGGGTCTCTAGTATGGGGAAAATGTACAATGGTTGCTCTAGCCTGAGATTCTTTTATTTCTGCATTCCATCAGAATGTCCTTGGTCCTGGGGTTTACATGGCTGCTGAAGACTCTGGGAGATTTCCTGAGGAACCTGAGGTGTCAGATGTAGTACTGACCAAAGGCGGAAACTCATGATTGGGATTCCTTACCTCTGTTTGTTTTAGATAAATCTAGCCTCTCTTTATATGTGTGGTTTTCAACTATTAAAATATGAAATAGCCCTGGCCAGGTAGTTCAGATGGTTATGCATTGTCCCCATTATTTCAAGGTTGCAGGTTCAGTCCCCAATCAGGGCACATATAAGAATCAACCAATGAATGCATAAATAAGCGGAATGGCAAATTGATAATATTCTCTCTCTCTCTCTCTCTCTCTAAATCAATAAATAAAAAATATGAAATAATTTTTCTTGTATCAATTAACATAATTTAGGACTTTTCATGTTACATGGTTTACACTTTGGGAAATATTGCTTCAAGCTGACGGCTCCTGGCTGAATGTGGTTTAGATTCTTCCATTCTCCATACCCTTACCCACCCTGAGTCTCCTACCTGGGAAGTTCTCTTCTCTTCATTCCTTTATCCAAATCCTTTAGCTCCCAACAAGGCCTTTTTCTTAGCAAAACCTTTCCAGCCTCCTCTAACCACAGGAGCTTCCTCCTCTTCTCCCCAAGCATGTGCTTCCTGTAGCAAGACTGCACTGCTTCACCTTCGATATCCCTGTCTATGGTTATTATTGACTTTTCATTGTCTCATATCATATAGTCTCTATATGTGCACACATTTTGTTGACCAAATATTTATCAAGCAGCATGATAGATGTGATAAATGAAGTCAAAAGGAAATAAAAACAGTGGTATCTCAATCTACTTTATTTTTGTTAATCCTCACATGAGGATACTTTTCCCATTGCTTCTCAGAGAGAGTACAGGGAGAGAGGTGGGGAGAGAGAAACATCTATGTGAAAGAGACACATCGACTGCTTGCCTCCTGCACCCATCCTGACCAGCATGGTGAACGAATTTATAACCCAGGTATGTGCCCTTGACTGGGAACTTAATCTGTGACCCTTTGGTGTGCAGGCTGACATTCCAACCACTGATCACACTGGCCAGTGCTCAACCTACTATTTAAAAAAGAACCAACACTAGTAAAGATGGAAAATAGTGAGGCAGATAACCTGAGAGTAGAAATAGAAAATACCAAATGGCTCAAACTACGTCAGCATATTAACAATCTAAAATGATCTAGGAAACAGAAATGAAGAATGGTAGGTCAGAGGTAAAGGGAGATTGCCTTAATCAAATAGAAAAATTGAAAATATAATAAAGTTGAATTACTCTGTCCATACTCCCAACTGCTTGGATTACCGGATTTGTAGCATTGTTGGCCTTTTCCCTTTCCTGGAACATTTTCTTGTGTGTGGGCTCTTCAATTAAAGAATGTCTGTGCTGCTCGAGGTGGCCATAAAAGTCAGATGGGGAGAGGAGGCTGAATCCAAATGATGACGTGGCTGGGCTCTGCAGGCAGAGAGTTCACCTTGTTCCCTTTGGAAAATACAGAGGTGTCTTGAGCTTGTTCTCTCATTTCTAATGTCCTTGAGTTCAGTTTGGGTTTGAAATGGGATATATATATATTTTTTTAAAATTTTTTTTTTTTCAGAACCTGCTGAAAGATACAATATGGGTTTAAAAAACTGGCAGACTAAAAAAAAAAACAAAAAAAAAAAAACAAAAAAACTGGCAGACTTACTGTTTATTTAATTATTATTTTTTCATCCTTGCCCGAGGATATTTTTCCATTGATTTTTAGAGAGAGTGGAAGAAAGAGGAAAAGATGGAAGGAAATATCAGTATAAGAGAAACACATCCATTGTTTGCCTCCTGCACATGCCCTGACCAGGGCCCGGGCCAGGGAAGAGCCTGCAACTGAGGTAGCTGTCCTTGACAGGAATCAAAACCGGGATCCTGGGATTCGCAGGCCGATGATCTATTCATTGAGCCAAACTGGCTAGGGCTACTGTTTATTTTATTTAAACTAGGAAATTAAATATTTGAAATTATTGGAGAAATAATTAATAAAGGGTGAAAATGTACACATTTTAGTTTTAAAAATAATTTAGGTGGGATTGGCAAAGAATAAAAACTTAAGAATTTTTGTTTGCTAGATTTTTAGAGAGGAAGGAGAGAAGGAAAGGGGGAGGGGGAGAGAGAGAGAGAGAGAGAGAGAGAGAGAGAGAGAGAGAGAGAGAGAGAGAGAGATACAGAGACATGTGAAAGAGAGAGAGAGAGAGAGAGAAACATGTGAAAGAGAGAAAGAGAGAGAGAGAGAGAAACACGTGAGAGAGATACATGTGAGAGAGATATACCTACTGATCATTCTGAGCAGGGATTGAAACAAAACCCAGGTATGTGCCCTTCTAGGAATCAAACCCACAACCTTCTGGTGCACAGGAAAAGGCTCGAACCGAGCGAGCCACACCAGCCAGGGATGAAAGCTATGAATTTTTGAACACTTATTTCATGCCAGATATTGTGATTCATCCATCCATCTATTCTTTATCAAATAGGATATATGTTTGATGGTTCAAAATTTGAAAGGTATAGAGGGTTCCTAGGGAGTCTCCCTCTATCTTTGAGTCTCCCACTTTCCCTCCTCTGATGTCACCAGGGTAGTAGATCCTTGTGAGTCCTTATAGTAATATTTCATGCACATTAAGGCTAATATATGTAGCAGACAACAGTATTCCCTGAGGGAAGCAGGGTGGAGGGTGGTAAAGGGAGCCAAATATATGGTGACAGAAGATGATTTGACTTTGGATGGTGGGCACACAATGTATTATGCAAATCGTGTGTCATAGAGATGCACTTGAAACCTAGATAGCCTTAATTAACCAACGTCTCTGCTATACATTAAATAATATAAACAAATGAGCAAATCAAATAAATAAAATACAGAGCATGTTGTTACCTGCATAAGGTCATGCAATGACTTACTATTAATAGTAGAACTGGGTTTAGAACTTGACTTTTGACTATTTCACACTGAGATGTGCCGGGGCTGACTCTACCCGGCCTTAAGTTCAACTATCAGGAAACAATTAAATGTACCCATGGTTCCTCTCATTAGACAGCAATGATCCTCAAGTCTTTGAATTGGATAAGCAATTACATGTGAGTTGATAATACTGTTAAGGATTGTTTTTTAATTATTGATAGATGTATATAGCTTTTGTTTTCCCTAAAGAAAGAGGCAACACTCCTAAAAATTGAGGGCTGAGAGGTTATAGTTACAGTGCAAAATATAAGAAATAGTCGAGTTATGGAGAGCATACAAGACTACAACCTCCTTAAGGCATAAAGTAGTTGTTCCATTTTAAAATGAATATTTGACACATAAAATGACTGTAAACAAAGTGTATGTATATTCTAAAAGATTATAATAGAACCAACATCTGAAGACTTACCACCCAGACAGAAATCCTATACCGCCCACACCATTGCAGCTACCTGCACATTCTTGCCTAGCCCACCTCTCTACCTTCCCTAGAGGCAGCACTATTGTG